CCTCATAAAGTTAACTAAAGTTAATGTTGAAATTCTTTTGTTCAACTTCAAAAAGCATTAGCAGTTCTCTGTAATTTTAATCCAATAGTTTGTTTGTTATGCCATGTGGTTTATATTGTTGCATATGACAAGTTACTTTATAACAATTCTTCTAAACAAAAAATAAATATGTGTTTCATATACTAAATCTTTGCCTAGTAGGCTTTAAAGATAAAAACTATGTTGTTATGTGGCTGCCTTCTACAATACAGTGCTAGACGCTGTCTTTTAGAAGCTTCACATTAACATCTAATTTATTTATATAGATTTTTAATTTAAAGTGTCTGGTTTATTTAAGATTTGATTTATGTATTTTTTTGAGTAATTTTTTAATTTAATATTTTCAGTTTTGTTTTATGTTTTTTTTTTTTGTATATTTTCAGATGGGCTATTAATTCCTTCAGCAGAAATGTTTATAAAAAAAGGATACAAAACTGGAACAAAAGGTTTTTTTTAATTTTATTATTATTTTTGCATACTATAAAATTTATGAAACATTTTGTAAAATTTATGAAGTCTTTTGGTTTGTAAAAATTAGGGATGTACCGAAGCTAAAATTTTGCCGAAGCTGAAGCTTCGGCCGAAGCCACTTTGCCGAAGCCGAAGCTTCGGCACTATATATGCTTAAAATTAAATCAGCATTCAGATCAGCAGGGGTGTAAAACAAAAAAGGTTCCAAAACTAAGATCCTTGACTAATAATATAGAAAAAATGTATAAAAATGAGGACACAAGTCAGGTTGCTGCCCCAGGCAGGGCAAAAGCTCTCAGCGCCCCTGTTTGAAAGTTTCTCATTATGTCGTTTCTGATACTTCACCGCACCTAGTGTTTTTTTTTTAACTTAAGCTTTTTTAAAATATTCTCCCCAAATTTTTCTACTTCTAATTCTACTTTTTCTGTGTGCAAACCATATTAATGTTATATAGTGCACAATATCAGTAACTCACATATATTTCCAACTATTCCCAATATTCTTCTAAGGTTATTGCTATTTTTCTGATCTTTTATAGCCATACTGTTCTTCTATGTAAACATTGTTTCTCTTTAATCCTCTATCTAATCATCTAATTTTTAATCCTCTATTTAATCATCTTGTTTGCTCTATCTAATTATAGTGTGCTAGCTGAACATCCTCAAATTTTATTCCCCATAAATTACTGTTACGCATCTTTTCATGTGCTGTATATTTTATTTTTATTTTTAATGCACCTTTTGTTAAGAGTGGATAAAAATCTCTGAGTATTACTCAAGTAAATTAATCTTTTACACTTGAACACTCTTTCTCTAAATAAACACTCTTAGCTGATCTAGTTGTATCTACAACATAAAAAATCTTACAAACACACTTAATCTATTGCTATTTATTTCAAGATAAAAAACTAAAAAAAACCCTAAGTTAAGACCATTTTGTATTCCACTACAACTGTTGTGAACCTGCTGCTAAAAAAAAAAGTACAATTGATAGATTTCTCTCTAACTTCTTTTTTACACACTTTTAAGTTGTTGTTTTTTTTTTTTTTATTATTTTTAATTTTACACTACATAACATTTTCTTAAGCTTCTTTTAATCTTTTACACTCTGAAATTATAGTATTCATTTTTCTTCTGTATCTGTAATGGATAAATCTGCATCAGTATCTGAAATCAAATATTAACTATCTGTGACAAAAACTTCTATAGTAATCTAACAACTCAGTAGAGTGAGCTTTAAATAAAATAATAAATAGAATACTTTATAAATATTTTATTTATAATTATATTATTATTTACTTTATATTTATAAATAAACAGGGACTGAGCAGGCTGATATTTATTTGATTTAAATTGTTTATTTAATTTAAATAAATTTTGATGATAAATGTAAGAGCTCAAAGTAATCAAAGCTTTAACCTTTAATTTATTTTAAATAAAATTTAAAAGTCTTCATATCATAAGAAGAAACCAGAATATAAGTTTATATGTTTAATATATAAATTCAATTTAGAAGTATTCATAATATTAATAAAAGAGCAAGGATAAATATTATCATTGTTTTTCTTTTTCTTTTAATTTATATAGTTTTGGTTGACTTTTTTTTTCTTTTTTTATTCTCCTCATTTATATTTCATTTGCATTTCTTCCTTTTTTGTTGTTGAGAACTTTATGTTTTTTATGTGTCACTCCATTGACTAGTTTGTAACTATATAAGTGACACCTTATCAATTTCTGTAATCTTACGATGAAAATTTGTAAATTTTTATTATGGTTAAATAAAATTTAACATACACAGAATTTAAAATAGTAGCAACATATTTTTAATCTTCTTTAAAGTGAGATTACTAAGGTTTATAGGTCAAATGTTGAAACCAATTTTTTTTCTATTTGCAGTAATCCCACACAAAAATTAATATAAATTCGTTACATAATACAAATTAAGGTTTTTTTTTCCATTTTATTTTTAAAAAGTTTTAATTTGTTTTAAATTATAAGGTTTTTATTCTGCATAAAAATGCTGATTCAGTTCATCTAAGTCACACTTGGAAGCCTTCAAAGTGTATGAAGACCTTCCTTAATTTTACTATTATATTCAAAATATTTCTACTTATTTATTATCATCCCCTCCATAACAAGACATTTGGGAGTAAATAATACTAAGTATATGGTATAGACTCCAACTTTAACTCTGTAGTCCTGAATTTACAACTTTAATTAGACACTGGCAATTAGCATATTTTTATAACTTGTACAACAGTAGCTTAGAACTTTAATTACTTAAAATTTTTTGCCGAAGCCAAAGATTCGGCAAAAATTCGACCTGGTTTCGGCTGAACCGAAGCTTCGGTACATCCCTAGTAAAAATAGACAATTGTAATTGAAAATTAAATAAACGGGTTAAAGATCAAAAATTTAATGATACCGGATAAAAATCTTTATGAATCTCAGATAAAAATAAAATGTATTTTTGGTTCAAAATAGAAAAAATGATTTTGTATCTTATATAACTACCTCAAGCAGCTTTTTGCTGTGCATTGGCTTAGCATTCTAAACCTCGAACTTTCATCCATTAGATGTTTTGTGATAGGGTGCTAAGTATTTAAGGTATTTTACTTGCCCAACAGTAATTTTCCTGGAGACTTGACACAAAATTTTTATATTAGAAAGACAAAAGTAATGCTATTGAATTTTAAAAAACTTTAACTTTTTTTTTTTGTTTTTGTTTTATAGTAGCATAAGCCTCTTAAATTTATGCTAGTTCATACTTAATAATTTATATTTACCTACTTAAATAATTTATATTTTATATATTTTATATTTTTAAATTTTTGCTCTCTCTCAAGTTAGCACTTTTTTCTATGTCTAAAAAAGTTTAAGTAAATTGTCTTATGTAATATTTGAGCATTTATTGCACTGAATTTTTATGCATCTTTGAAAAATATGATATTTAAAAATATGATATGACTTTATTATGTTTACATTTTTTACTATTTGGAAAATATGATTTTTTTAGAGCTTGAAAGTAAAAAGCGTCGAAAATTAAGTGGACAACAAGAAGCCACTGAGCCACAACCCAAAAGAAGATCTGCCAGAGTAAGTATTTTCTAGTATTAGGTATCAATTTCATGTATAGTTTTTAATTGTCAAAGTTTATTTAGGTATATGAATAATATAATTACAAATTATTAACTAGATAAAGTATTTGTATAAATATAAAGTGTGTATATATATACATACATACATACATACATACATACATACATACATACATACATACATACATACATACATACATACATACATACATACATACAGCAATTCAATGCTCGTCTAACAAAAAATGAAAAAATAAAATCAAACCAATATACATTATGCTATATATCAATAGAAAGTTCTAGCTCTTCTCTTTCAGGAATTTTTTTTTTTTTTTATATAGTCTCCAGCTATCATAAAAAGTAATAAGGGCTGAAACAGAAGGTTAAAATATGCATTTTTCTATATTAAGTTCTTTATTAACTAACAAAGTTGAATTTAACTTTTAAGGAATCCAAAAACTGTGTTGAGCTTTGTAATCAGCTTTCTGGCTGCACTAATCATTGGTACTTATGATACAAAAATGCCTATTGCCACAAAAATTCAGAAAACATTTACCTTTAGTTAATTATGATTTTCATATATCTCTTGTATAATGCTTTTTGTATCGTCTCTAAGTATGTTTTTTTAGTATCATCTTTTATTAAATTTTAATAATTGAAAACTATTTTTATACAGTACAAAAGAAAATTTTAAACTCAAGTTATTTTCAGCATGTTTTTATGTCACAACGTGATAAATGCTTTGAAAAATCTAAAATTGCTACACTGAAGCCACAAGTAAGATTTTATAAATTTTTATCAGCCAGACTAATCAGTTACTTTTGTTCTTTGAAATTATTAGCACTTTGTTTAAGACTTATAAGTATATTTTATTACCTAAAAATGTTCAATAAATATATGTTTTACATGAACAAAATTTGGAGGATAAATGCACAGCTATGATTGAGACTCTCCACTCAGGTACAAGAGCTGCTTTAAAGGATAGTTGTAACTTGCATCTTCATAGCAATTGTGTATTGTATCTTTTAAAGTTTAGCCTGCCTCTTTTTATTTATGCTAAACTGCAAAATAATTGAAAATGCAGTTCGAAAATTTATGACAAAAAGCAGTAAATCTAACAAATCTGCAAGGACACTTGGAAAAACTATTAGGAGATTCGAGTCAGCGCTACCATATTCACCTAGAAATAGAACAAAAATTTTTAATAGAAATAAATAAAATCTTTTGCCCAGAAAAAATGCATTGTGAAACAACTATATATGAAAACTGATTTATGATTTTTACTAGCATGATGATATATCTTGTCAAGCACATGTAAAATAAGACTATTGTAGCAAGATCAAAGAAGCAAGGACAAGAAAGAAACTTTTCAAAATTTGTCTACAAATGTTAGTGAATCCTATGCTCTTTTTAAAGAAGATTATCTTGAAGAATCAGTTGGAAAAGTTTGTAAGTGTATGTCCGCCACATGTGCTTTTTTTCTAGTTTAATACCAAGAAACTTGTTGTCAACAACACAAAAATCCTTTAACTTGAAGCGTTGCTTAAGTTTGATTCAAATTTTCAATTTTATTCACATGAATTTTTGCCAAGCATTCATGTGAATATGTAAATGAAATTTGATATAACAACATATGTAAAATATGCAAAGAGGCTGCAAAGTTTCATGATCTTTATGGTACCCATGTGAAAAATTTGTAAAAGGCAACAGAAAAGAATATATAACAAAAAGTTTAAAAAAAGCTTGAGTTAATGATCTTTTCAAAATCTTTACCTTCATTACTTTAGCATTATTTTATTACACAGAAACAACAAAAAAGACATATAATGATAAAAAAAGCCAAATTCATAGTGATGCGGGCAACACCATTCTTTAAGTGGGTTTTTTTAAAAAAATTTTCAATTTTGTGGCAAGATTAAACTCTTCAGCTGTCATAGTTCAGATAATTTAATCCATTCAAATATATCTATTGTTGTATTTGTTACTAATTTAATTTTTAACTAATGCTCATGCAGTAAACAGTTTTTAAATTGGTTACTTAGTTCATCTGTCCAAATATTTAGCATATAAAGGATGTCCCAAAATTAACTCAAGGTTTGAATAAAAAACACAGTTTTTAGTTTTTTGATTGTAATTTTTTTATTCAATCATAAAGTACATAGGATAGGGTTATTTATGGAATAACACATAAGGCAAATGCCCACCACGGCTTTCCATACACATATGCACTCGTTAGTAGAAATTTTCCATGACTTTTCTGCATAAATGTGGCTGAGTTTTGTTGATGCAGTGTTGAATCTCCTCCTTTAAAGCAGGTGTGCGTTAAAGGAGGAGATTCTTTTTATTGTTACACACCTCTTATATACTTGATTCAACATGAATCTAACCATGTTGAATAAATGAACCTAATGAATCAATGAATCTAATGAATCATGAATCTAACCATGTTGAGTCAAGTCTATATATGCTACATATTTAAATAGATAAACCAAGTCACCTATTTTAAAATTGTTTATTACATCAACATTGCACTGGTTTAAAAAGCAGCATGATTTAAAATTATGCTTGAACTTTTTTGCTGTTCCACATTGGTGGTATCATTAAAAGAATAGCAACGCAAAACTAAATTTAGAGAAAAATATTAAAAATAATGCCAAATCCTTTTATAAAGCTGATAAAAATGAAACTTAGTACAATGTCTATTTTGGTTCTATAGAAGATGTTGCACATACAATTAAAAATTTTGAAATAGATGATTTATTCAAAAAAGTACCAGCAAAACTAGATATATTTACTACACATCGTCCACAAATGGAACAATAGAAACCTTATTATATCTTTAAATCACAAAAAAATCTTTAAAATATTGTATGGATTTTACAAGAAGATAACATGTGTTCTCAGATAACTATGTACAAAACTAATTTTATGAAGTTAATTTTCTTATAATAAATAATCTTTAGTTGACTTATTAGTTAGGTTTTTCAAAAAAACCTAACTAATAAGTTAGAGGATAGCATACCTTTTGCTTGTTTTTAAATATAAAAAGTTTACTAAATATAAAAATTAGCTTTTTATATTTATTTAATATTATTATATTGAAGACTAAAGATAAAAATAGAGACAGTTATCATGCTGTGAGGAGAGTGAAATTGCTTTAAATATATATAGTATAGGTTTTTGTGTTTTAGGTTAAGATTTCAAAGCGTAAAGAAATAGATGTTAACTGGAGTGATTTAATCAGTTCCTTTCTACCTTCTTCGCTTAAGTTTGTTTTATTTTTCAATTTTTTATATTAGTACCTATTTTCTTTTGTTTATTTATTTTTTTAATTTTTCTATAGATATATTTATACTTATATATACTTTGTTTATAACACTGTTTCTTCATTAATTTGAATGCAATACCAATATTTAAATATTATTTGATACTATTAAATGTTATTATTTATTAAAGTTTATATGTTTAATGTTTTTATTATTTATGCACAATAAAGGAGTAGTTGGCTTAATTAAAAAAATAGTAATCAAACTTAGATTAATTTTAAATTTCATTCTATAAATGGATAGTGGTTCAGTTTTTTTTTTTTTTTTTTTTATTATTCATATAATCACCTTATTATTAAAGACATTTCAACCTATAGTTATGTAATGTTTTTCCTAGATATACAAATAATAGCTTAAGATTCTTTTATTAATTAGATTTGTGTTGTGTTTTGATATAAAATATAACCCAATAAAGACAATTTATAAATAGATCTACAAATCAATACAAGAAGTAATTCTTGTATTGATTTGTAGATGTTTGATGTACTATTAAATCTACTTCTGTTGTTTGATGTGCTCATCAATCTACTTTTATTTATTGATAGTCTTCTGAAGACTCTTCAAGTTATCTTTAATTTTTGATGATTTTTAATTGCAACTCTGCAATACAGTGTAGAAATATATCAATAGGAATCTGTTCTCAAAACAAAAAAAAAGTTTATTTTTATATTGATTTTAAATTACTTGTTTCCATGAATTTCTGATTTTACTATTTATAACTCTATTTGATATTTTTATTTGGTCTTTGATTTTTTGTTGTTGCCCTTTTTTACTCTTTTTTGTTGGTGCCCTTTTTTACTATAGTTACTAGAAGTAACCTTTCTGATAATTTTACATTGTTTTTTTATGGTAACTACATGTTCCTTTTTTCCTGGTAAACTTTCCCCATTTCAATAATTTTCTGCCTTTTCTTTTTCATTATATAACAGTTTCTTTGTCACTTTTTTTGATACCTTCCCTAAAAATCAGCCTAAATTTATAAAATCCCAGAATCCCTCAAAATGCTTTACAATTTTTTAAGTTCACATAATTGGTTTCTTAAATGATAAAATTTTGTAGATCTGATACTTCCACTGATACTGACTGTTCACAAGATAGTCTTACAGACTCGTTTCCTGGAAAATTGATAAGGTAAGCAAGGTGTAGTAAAATAATATGTTTTAGACTAAAATGTTCCATTCTAATGAAATCATTCATTTGAAAAAAACTATTGTTTTTGCATTTGTTATAAAACGATATTATGTTTCTGTAGCAAAAATATGGAATCGTATAACATTCTATTTAAAAAAAAGCAATATTATGTATCTTGCAGCATAAACAGTTTTTTTACTTTAGCCAAGCAAGCAATATTGAGTCATTCAAAAAAGGTATATTACAGTTTTATAATTGGTTATAGTTTTATTGTTATTGATAGTTATTGTTGGTATGATACTGCTTAAGTTGGTAATCTATCTAAATGGTTGCTTTAGAACTTGTTGCTGTTTCTGATTTTGTGAACAGTAAAGTTTCAAACAAGTATTTATTTAATTTTTAAATACTATTGTCTGTTAAATTACTTTATAATAAATTATTTTTTTAATGTGATTTTAACATATTAACTTATTATAGCGGCTGTATTGATCTTTTTGGAGCATATTTGTTAGCTATTGTGAAGTTCTATGAGCAGCAACAACAATGGTAAATTTTAGTAATTTTGTACACTTTGAATCAAGTAATTGTGTATACTTTGAGATAATTAGTATCAGGGTTCTGATGTATATTTAGATTAGAGAATACATTTAGTAATGAGTTTGTTTTTCACAATTTAATGTGTTTTATTATTTTTATATGTGCTTTCAATAAATTGCTTTTAGGCAACAGGAGTTAAGCAGCATTTTTGTTAATATTTATAAGAAATACAGAAAACATGCATCTTGGCCTAATTTATTCAGGTTAATCACTATATGTTTTGCAGGGTTTTTTATGTATCTTTTTATGTATACTATGTATTATGAATATATGTATAAATTTTGTTACTTTTGTATGTATAAATTTTAAATCTTTTGTCTAAATTATTTTGTATTTAATATACTTACCTTTTTTTTTCTTCTCATCAAACTCCTTAAATATGAACTGTGTTAATTAAGAGAAACAGATTGAGTTTGAACTTGGATTTCCAGGTTCAAACTCAATATGACAATATTTTATTTACAATCCAGAATGGACTTAAACATCAAACTTCTTGATTGTGAGATTAATGTTTTTTATTGACTTTATTATTTATTTTTTAGTTTGCCCTCATTTAATGAAACAGAAAAAGCGGATTTAGGAAAGGTAGTTTTAAAAATTAGTAATTTTAGTTTATTGGTATATATTCAATTAGCTCAAGTTCACTAAGGTAAAATAGATGATTTTGAAATTTTACCTTTGTAGCTTTACTAGTAATTTTTTTATTTGGACAGCAATAAAAATATGAACAAACATTTTCTTGATAGTTTAAAAAGTTATAGTTTGCAAAAAAAATACAAAAAAATCTTTGATTTTTTTAACTATATAATTTTGAATTGGTCTGTTGTAGTAAAAATATTTTTCAAAAATAAGGTTTAAAAGAATAAATTTTTAACTTAATAGTTTTTAGGTTTTTTTGCCTGCAATGTTCTAGTTATAATATATATATATATATATATATATATATATATATATATATATATATATATATATATATATATATATATATATATATATATATATATATATATATATATATATATATATATATATATACACACACACACTATAGGGTATATAGACAGCTTTTTAAGAAAAAAACAAAGAATAATGAAAGAAAAGATTGCTGCCACATCCACACTGATCATTTCTATACTCATTCATTATTTACTTCAATATTTTTAAGTAAACAGTAGAAAAATTATTCATTCAAAAAAATTGCTTTATGAGCAAAAAAATTCAAAATATGCACCCTTTCTGCATAATACATAGCTTATTAAAGGGATCCCAAACTCCCAACACATGTTGTGTTCATATTAAAGATAATGTTAAAAAAAAAGGTTTGAACCAAGTTTTTTTGATTAAAAATAAATAATGAACGCATACCGAGAAAAACTAACGTTGTTGTTTTAGCCGAAGCTTGCCTTCTCCATTTTTTACAATAACGCGAAGTCTTTAAATTATATGTTGCAATCTACAGACTTTAGCGATTCTTTTGAAGCACGTTTAATTCATAAAAGTTTTAGTATTTGATGTCACGGTAGACTTTTAACAAATGAAACTCTAAAAATATTTTTATTTATTTTTATTCAAATTTTTTTTTTGATTTTTTGTTATTATATAGAGTTTTTTTTTTTTCTATTTTTAACATTTAAAAAGATATTAAAAACTTCAAATATTTTATGCTGGTTCGTTGCTATAAATTGTTATTTCATATATTTAATGTTTATAAATTATGAATATTTATTATCTCAATCAAGACTCCGATAAAAAATTGTTTTACATTAATTACCCTTATAAAATTAGTAACAGTATTTTTATTTGGTTAGACAATATTTCGTCTCAATTTGCTTTGCATGAAGTTCGGGAAGTTAAGCAAAAAAAATTAGCTTGAATACTCACTTTGAAATATATTTAAAACAAATTATTTTAATGACAGGGTTTTCAAGGTTTTTTATAACAAACATAGGTAAAAAATAAATAATTAAATAAAAAGTTCAACATTAAATATTATTTCTTTATTATATTGCAACTGTAAATATTGAAATATTAACTTGAACTAAGTTTACTTATTATTTAGAACGACTAAGCAATAAAAATAAAAAGCCCCTAAAATTATGCGATATTGTGTTGTTTATTTGATAACTGTTGTTGGTAATGTTGTTTATGTTGATTATTTTCATTAATATCAAAATAGTCCCAGATTAATCTGTTAGTTGCTTTGTTCATTGTTGATTTATTTCTAATTTAATTTTATCTCATATATTTTATAAGTATGAATTTATGTTAAGAAAGAAAAGTTTTTATTTTATCGCTCGCTCTTTTTATAAAAGAGTGGAACAAAAGAGAAAGAAAAGTTTTGCGTAATTAAACTTCGAATGAATAAGAGTTGTATAGAATATTTTTTTTAGATGAGAGAAATAAAAGTTTAAAGGTGAGTTTACATTCATCCATTTTTCTACGGGAAAGGAAAGGGAACGGAAAAATAATCACGTGAGCATGCGCAGTTTTCTTTCGAACAAATAAAAACTTATCTACTTACTACGCATGCTCACATGATTATTTTTTCCCTTCCTATCCCGTTCCCATAGAAAAATGGAGGAGTGGAAACTCACTTAATAGTAACTTTGCTTTGAATATATGAAAATTGGAAGAGAAAATTGCTTGAAAATTTGTATTTGTTGTGTTTTAAAATTTTTTTAATTTTTCATGTTAAGAGACAAATGCCAAATATGACACAAATTGGGAAATACCAAATATAATATGTTTTTAAATGCGCGTTATGACATTTTGACAATTTAAATTACCGTTTATCTTGAATTATTGCCATTAATTAATGTGTTAATTATTGCGTTATATAATAATAATTTGTCCGTATTTTTGTTAAATATTAGTTGTATAAAACAGACGAAAATATACAAACTTCATGTTTTTTATTTGATGGTTATAAAGTATTGAACAGCAAACTTATAATCAAAATTTGTAATGCCGACTTGTGTTGCTTATTAATTGTACTTTTAATGCAAAACCAGGATCTCACATATCCTTTCACGAATTTTCATATCTGATACTACTGTCAACAATATTGTTTAGTGTATTCTTGTACTTTTTTTTAATAACCTTAACAGGTTCTAATTGGTATGGAGTTGCCAACATTTTAAAAGTTTTATTATCAAAAATCAAATGTAAAATAAAATGATATTTCCTTTTTATCCGTATCCAATTCAGCAGTTTAAAATGAATCAGCGTAATCAAAAAAATTTTATAATCAAAAAAGTTAACAATTCATTAAATATCTCTAATTAATACTGTCAGTTTATGAAATTAATTGTTAATAAATACTTTTTTTCGACAGGAAAACAAAAAATATCATAGCGTGAAAATAACCAGAGAAGTTAGAAAAAAAGTTCCCATTGTTTAAATAAAAATAAGTAAGATTCAGAATATATAATACTGCGCTCTCTTGCACAAAAACAAGAGACCGTATACATAACGTTCTATATAATGTAAAACACTCATATGAAAATCATAAGATTCGTAAGTGAAGCTTTAATATTTATTTTAATTTAAAAATAAAAGAATTATAAGTAAGATATATAAATCTAAAATTTATTAAGATATCGGTAAAAAAAAAGTTCCTCCTATGAAATAAAAAGCTTTTATTATTTTTGATTTTTACAAAAATTTGTTGTAAAAGTTGTTTTGCTGTATGTTAAAAAATTACTACATCCTACTTTTTGAAAAACGCAGCATTGTTTAATTACACTTTTCTTTTGTTAAAAACCTACCGTGACATCAAATGCTAAAACTTTTATGAATTAAACGCGCTTCAAAGGAATCGCCAAAGTCTGTAGATTGCGACATATAATTTAAAGACTCTGAGTTATTGAAAAAAATGGAGAAGGCGAGCTTCGGCTTAGAAGGCGATCCTCACCCCGTTAACAGCTTACAATTTACAAAACTACATTATCTAAAACATCCTTACCCCATGTATTTATTTTGAAAGATAAATTATGCACTTAACTAATTTCTACTTTAAGAATATAAGTTAGAAACATTGAAGAGCAAAGTAAATTGATTCTTCACTACGTTAGATGCACAGAATTACCTAATTGAATACACAAACACCCAACATAAGTAAAATTCAAAATTGGCATACTATGCGTTCCTGGCAGTATTATTTATTTTATAGTTCTGCACGCGACGCGGGGCCTCGGTTGCGTTCTAGTTTAACGCTTTGACTGTGGCGATACTGGCGATTCCAAAATGACAAAAATGACATATTTGTTCATCGAAATAAATTTTTTTTTTATAGCGACAAAATTAAAATGAACGTACCGTTTACAGATGCATGAGAAGTCACAAAATACCCTAAAAACTGTAAGATGCGTTGGCGGCTAGGGCTTTGCTAAAGACCCCGCTGGGGGAGCTTACAGTGCTCCCCAGACCCCTAACTGGTGAGGAGGGGAGGAGGCCCCTTCCTTTTCTCTCCCCATAAACTGGACTTTGACTAGGACCCTGTCTACAGTTCCCCTACTTCTTTTTTCCCAAATTAACCACTGACATAAGTAAGATAATTGCATACACTTTAGTTCACATTATCTTATAGCTTGCTGCTACATTTACTGAGGATTTAGCTTTGCCAGGCAGTTTATCAAATAATAAGTTTATCAAATTGCCAACCTCAAACTGTTACAGGTTGACTTAACGTCAGCAAAAAAAGTTTGACACAAAGGGGTTTCCATAAAACATAAAAACAAGGTAATTTTTTGATGACCTCAAACACTTTTAGGTCAGCAGTTAGATAGCCATTACACTGGTTTAAGAATGTCATAGTAACATGCTACATAGGGATGCATATATAGATCTTAGATTGTAGAAATTAGTTCTTCAGAAAAAAATACACAAACTTGTGAACCTGTTGTAGATGTTGTGTGATTCTTACCAGAATTGCAAAGTATTTAGTTAGAGTCAAACATGTTCTTTTATTTTAATTAAAACCCTGATTCTAGCATTACATATTGGTTCACTAAGTGGTCCTGTTTTGTTTTACTCCCTATTTTTTCATCCTAGTCTTTAATCTACATGACACCAGACATGATTTGAGATCATTGAAAACCAGGAGAAATAAAATTTTGCTAAAAATTTTTTTTCTCCTGGTTTTCAATGATTTCAATGCATTTGGTAAAGAATTTTGCCACAGTTTTATGTTTTTGCTATTTCAATGGCATATTCAGTTCAGAGAAATAAACCCATATAAATGAAGTAGGTGTGTATAACATTTATACAGACTGAATCAAGCAACATACAAAAAAGAGATGCTAGAGAACTGCTTCATTCAGTAGACATGCTAATTGATCAAAATGGAATTTCAACAAGAACGGTGGCAATTTCATTTTCAATTTCAACAAGATTTAGTACCTGCCCACGCAGCTTGTACAGTAATAACATTTATGAAAGAAAACAAAGTAGATTTATTGCCCTGGCCAGCTCAATCACCAGATTGAATCCAAATGAATCTATTAGAGGTTGAATGGCATTAATCAAGGTTCAAATAAGATTCATATATAGCCTAAAGCAAGAATTAGAAGAGTTCTAAACGAAGTTTGCTACATTCTTGTTAAATCGATGCAAAAAAGATGTGTTGCTTACAAAAAGGCTCTTGGGGGATATTTTAAATACTAGTTTTGATGTTGTTTTTTTTGTTGTTGCATTAATTTTTTTATATATTGCAGTTTTTTTATTGATAATTTTTGTAATTATGTTCAAAAACATTTTTATATACAGTTTTATGTTTTAGTACAGGGTTGCCACCAAATCAGGGAATTCAGGGAAAATCAGGGAAATTTAGATACAATCAGGGAAAATTAGGGGGAAATGATTGATTTAGGAATAAATCAGGGAAAATCAGGGAACTTTTTAATTTTTCTTTAATGTTTTTAAATTTTTTCTAATAAAAATCTTCCTTTTTAAGGGTAACAGGGTTAATGTTTAACATTTTTAAAGAAAATTAATCATATTGTGTTTACATTAATTTAATGTTAGCAACATAATTCAAAGAAAAATGGTTAATTGATCCTTTGTTTGAAAAATGGCTGATAATAGGCAAAAATGTCCAATTGGATCTAAATATTCAGTTTTAGAGCAGCAATTTAAATCATGTTGAATCCAGATACTTTGACTCTAAATTTTTAGGTTACCCCACAGCAAAGAATTTACTTAAAAGTATGACTCAACTAAGTATGGAAGGTACAAATGTGAACTGTTCCCTTCTTAATCTTCTTGAATTGCAGCATGATCAACAAGAGCTACCTAAACTTCTTAATGTTGGAAGCTGTAACCTTCATCTAATACATGGTTTCAAATCGGGTTTTCAATCTGCTGAATGGAATATAAAGAAGTTAATGAAAGCATCATACGACCTTTTTTATGATTCTTCAGCTAGAAGAGCTGATTATGTAACGGTTACTAAATGTGAGAGTTTTCCTTGTGCATTTTGCTCTACACGCTGGGTTGTAAACTAAAAAGTTGCAGATAGACTTTGTTTATTTTGGGAGAATGTTAAAAAAAATAACCAAGTATTGGGAGACTCTTTCTAAAAGTAAGTAACCAAAATGAAAGAGCTATGACAAGTGTTTGGGGCAGAGTTGTTAACAAGGCCAAAATTATCAAGACCAAGGCCAAGGCCGCTCATTATAAGTCTAAGGCCAAGATCAAGGCTCAAAGTTACAAGGGCCAGGCCAAGAGTTTATGGTTAAGGCCAAAACAATCATTGCCAAGACCAAAATTTTCAGGTCAAGGACTAACAACTCTGGCTCGAGGGAACAAAAGATAAGTTAATTCTGACTAAATTAAAGTTTTTTGGTTACATTGCAAGTTTTTTGCAGAAAATCTTACTGAGATATCAAACCAATGCCCAAATGATTCCCTTTCCTTTTGAAGATTTGTTCTCAACTGTTGAAAGTTTGATGGGTTTAATTATAAAACAAGATGTCCTTTACATCGTTAATGGCAGGAAACTTCAATAATATGATTTTACAAAAAAGGAAAACTTTCTGCTATTTAAATTAATGATAATGGAATTTGCTGCAGAACATGACATTATCGAATTGAGGAAAAAGGATGCATTATCTCAGGATATCATCAAAGATTCATAAAAGATTGCTGTCTCATTATCTTTGGAATTCTGGAAAAAATAATAGAAAGAAGTTTGAATCAATTTTCTTTTCTGGAAGCAACTGCTTGCATCAATCCAGTGTCGAATCTTTCTAAACAAAAAGCTGATCTTCTTCATCAGATGAAATCTGTACTACATCTAGTTCTTTCTTGCTCATTACTTTAAATGAATGTGATCAAGCTTTCATACAATTTTTAAAGTTGTTGAGGAAAGTTCATCTACTTTTATTTTGAAACGAATAAAGTTGGTGTAGATTATAAGGTTTTGTCAAAAGTTTTGATATTTATTTTTATGTCATGGGCAAGCATCAATTGAGAGAGGTTTCAGTATTACCAGTAATATACTCAGTGAAAAAATGAAAGGACTGTCACTTATATCTTGTCGAACTATCAAAGATTTTATGGTGTCAAACAAATTAAAGGCTCACAAAATAGAAATAAACAATGAAATGATAAATGCTGTTTGTAGTGCCTCATTACGATATAAAAACTATTTGGAGGAAAATAAAATACTCCAAGCAAAAGAAAATAGCGTGATAATGCTTTTAGATCAGGGAATATTGGGAAGAAATAAGTATTAAACGATGTATGTAAAACATACAGTTAGAAATTTATTACATTCATTTCATTTTTTTGAATTTCGCTATCTTGTATCCTAGATAAGTCTGACAGGTTTTCAATGCCTGTTGAACATATCCATTTTAAATATACCCTGGTTCGAAGAAAAATTTTATATGTTGATTGAAGTATTTGATTATTTATTTTAATTTTTAAGCAAATTGATCGGTTAATTACTTATTGGGGGATTATAGTATCTGTTTTTTTAGAGGTAAAAATGCTCTGGGGTTATTAGGGAAGTTTTAATGCTAAGTTTGGAAAATATCAAGCAAATTTCAAGAGGATAAATCAGGAGAAAAAAAGAAAAATTTTAGCAAAAAATCAGGGAAAATCAGGGGAAAAAAAGCAAATTTTTGGCAAAAAAAATCAGGGAAAATCAGGGAATTTTGTTCCTAAATAACAGTGGCAACCCTGTAGTATGTCAACTAAGATGCAAGATTACTTTGAAAAATATTTTTTTCGAAAATTAAAAAAAAATTTGTTAAATATTTTCTTTAGTTTTAATTTTATGGTAGTTTAATTATGTATTAAGCAACAAATATTTTAATGCGCTGTTTTTTTGAAATTATATATATATATATATATATATATATATATATATGTGTGTGTGCGTGTATATATATATATATATATATATATATATATATATATATATATATATATATATATATATATATATATATATATATATATATATATATATATATATATATATAAACACACCCACGCACACACACATACAAACGTATGTGTGAACTTAGCCTTGCATGAACCATCATTGATGATATCATCTGTTTGGATTAGGGCAGGTCAATCAAGATATAAAGGTCTTATAGCAACAAAAAAAATTATTTTGTTTATTATTCTTTCTTTTATTATTTTTATATCTTAGAATCTGCCAAAGATAAAGTTGACTTTAAAACTTGTGCAAAATATATAAAGGCTATGCTGAAATCTATAAAAATGAATATATATACTCATATATATGGTCAGTATACAATAAAGACTTTTACAATAAAATAAGTCTCATTTTTAAGTATCATAACATAACTTTTTTTTGTGAGTACGATATCATAAGTCTTATTTTTAAGTACAATAAAATAAGTCTTATTTTTAAGTATGGTAATATAAATTTTTTTTGTGAGTACAACATTGTAAGTCTTATTTTTAAGTACAATAAAATAAGTCTCTTTCTTAAGTACAATAATATAACTTTTTTTTGTGAGTACAATATCATAAGTCTTATTTTTAAGTACAATAACATAAGTCTCTTTCTAAAGTACGATAGTATAAGTCTCTTTTTCAAGTATGATAACATAAGTCTTTTTCCATGACAATTTTGATACATCAATACCTCAAACTTTAATGTGAATCAAAAATAATGGACAAAACCACTGAAGTAACTTTGATGAATATTCTTTTAGATTTTTTTAATTTTGATTATTGTATTTCTTTAGCATTTTATATCGGGATTTAATCATTAAAAAGAAATTTTTTAATTAGGCTCTAGTACAAAAACTTTTGTTTTAGATGATTCTTTTTGCTTTGGAGTTAGAACTTGAGCAATTGATCATGATGATGGAAACAGAAAAAAGAGAATCACCTGCATCTTCTCCTTTAAAGTAAATTTAAAAATTTTTAACTATAAATTATTAAAGAATTTTTATAAATGAATATTTAAATAAAATTTATTTAAAAAAAATAGTTTAAAAATTCCTCCTATACACAAGCTGCATAACATTTTTTTTGAGACGTTTACAACATCGGAACGTTAATTCATAATTTTAAAAATATTGTCTTACTTGTAGTGTATATAGAAATAAATAAAAGATATAAGAAACTCCTATATTGTTTATTCACACATTTTATACTCGCATAGTGTGTATATAACAAAAACTTTATTATTTTTAGTTAAGATTTTTTTCGACAAACTCTTGTATATTATGGTTAGATTATTTAGGTCAATTAATTAGATTTTTATTTTAATATACTATAATATTATAAGCCATATCTAAAAATGACAATAAATAAGAAACTACTTTATTGATAAAACTTCCATTATATCTTGATCATGTAAAGTGTAGTATCAACCAATCGAATAGGCAAAGTTTACAACCCCATAATGCATTACTTTGAAGAGTTTGTTTTTTTAACAAAGTAGATAGCTGCTTTCAGAAGTGAAGAACCAATCAATTTATCCATTTTTTCATATGTGCTGCAAACACTGCAAACAAATCAGATTGTGCTTTTTCATAGCCAAAAATCAATTAACTTGTGTGGTTTCTTAAACATTTGTAGCTACAAAGCATAGTTTTCACTATAGAATTTGAGTAAAATTTTACCTTTTTTAAAGAAACTCTAATTTTTAGGTTGAAAACTTTTACTAAAGCTGATGGTAAATGTTATTTAAGTAATATTCCTAAATAAATTTTTTACATCACTTTGCAGGACTTGACGATGTTTAAATCCAAGTGTAAATAGCTGTGCTCTATTAATGATTTTCAACATAAGAATATGATTTCCCAGATATATTTAGAAAGTTATTTGGAATTCACTTTACTTTCATATTGAAAAATTTTTTTATGTTATACTTGCAATCTTTAAGTATGTGCTCATTAAACTAATTTAATTAATCATGTGATGATGTTCTAATGTTGATGATGCAAATTATATATTTATCTAGACACATACTTTGCAGAGGACATTGTGAAGTTTGCCGGGAGTTGACAGGCAGTTGACAGCAACTAGAACAGTTAGATTGGAAGTATTTTTAAGTTATTTTTTACCAGATAAATGATAAAATAATCTAAAAGTTATACAATTTTTAAGTTGGTACTATTGATAGTTTTAAATGAAACTTCTCTTCAAAAATACAAACAATGTTTTTTGTTGATTCTCTCAGATCAATTAATCCCATGAAAACAGCGAAGGCCATCATCTTTATAAAATCCTAATCATCACTATATAAATTTGAAATATACATTGAAATATAGTTGAATAGTTAAATATTGTTGACTCTCTCAGATCAATTAATCCCATGGAAACAGCGAAGGCCATATAAAATCCTAATCATCACAAGGCCATAAAATCCTAATCATCACTATATAAATTTGAAATATAAATTGAAATATAGTTGAATAGTTTCAACTATATTTGTATTTGTTTACTCAAAAAGATTGCAAATTGATAAAAGTGAAAAGTTGTGGACAAAATTTCTTTTGATTCGCAAGTAATTTAAAATAAGTTTTTACAGCACACTCAATTTTTAAATATGTTATCAGGCCATTTTCATGAGCAATAAATGTAAATTAAAAAACTACTTTTGCATTTATAAATTAACTAAATTTTAAATTGTCTAAATATAATTGAAAATCTTTAGCTTTAAGCGATACCTTTAAAATGATTGGGAAAATTCCATTTTTCTGATATTTCTGTTGGAGAAAGTTGAAAAGCAGACTTTATTTTAAATAAAGAAATGTCATTGGTCAATATTTTGAGTTCTGGCAAAAATACCACTTATTCACAGAAACCTTGTGTTCAGGGTTAGAACTTTATAAACTCCAGATAAAGTTCCTTTATAGAAACTGATATTAGGCATTTTTGTTAGTTTTTTTTTTTTAATTTTAATTTATTCCAAACAATACTTCAAACTATTAAGTTGGTAGTTACTAGAAAACAAAGAATAAATTTCAAAAGAAGGAAATAGATGACAAAAGACTTAAATAGTCGTAAGTAATAGTTGTAAGAGAACATTTATTTTTAATATAAGAATAATAATAAAAATATTTTTTGTTTTTTAAACTATTGGCTCTATTTGTATGAAACCACAGATTTACTTCAAACTTTGACCACCTACATATTTGATGAAATCTGAAAAACCCTGAAAATTTCAGCTTGATTCACAAATTGATCATTTGTTCAAAAGTTATGATTGAGTCAATATTGACTGAAATTGGAAAAATTTGAGTATCAAGAGCTTACATTAATTTTTTAACATTATTTTTGACAGACTATAAATTTGTACATAAAAAAGGTGACCAGAAATTTTGTATATTATTTCTTCTTTAGTAGCTTCATCTTGACTAACTTCTGTAATTTGTTCAAGTTTGAATTCATTCATACAGTTTGTACAAAATTTTTGAACAGGTTTGATCTTAATTTGACTTGCTGTTGATATGTTGATTTTTTTTTTTTAAAGTACATCCTTTCCTTTGAATTTAAATTTCAACAATAGTGTTCATAGTCTTAGTTTTAAAGTACATCCTTTCCTTTGAATTTAAATTTCAACAATAGTGTTCATAGTCTTAGTTTTTATCGGTCTTGCCATTCTACAGTTTTTTCACAATCTTTTTTAAAAACTTTCCATACAACATTTCTTTAAAAAAATTAAAACAGAGTGTTAAAAAAATCTAAAAAAACATATTTTTTTTACTATATACAGTATTAAAATGTAATCTCAAATATAAATCTGTCTAGATCTTTCTAAAATAAACATCAATACACATTTCTTTATAATTATTTCAACATAAACAAAACTTTTTGATTCTTACAATATTAGAATAAAATAGCAATATTAGAATAAATTACTAAAATCAATATTAGTATACTAAATTATAATTTAATAATAAAATAATTTAAATTAAATACTAAATTATTAGAATATCAGGGTTCAAAATGCTAATCTGGTACTTATTTTGTAAATAAGCAATATTAAAATAGAATCAAGAAAGACAATACTGTGTAGATTTAGATTTTAATACAAACTTTAAATAGAATTAAAATGTTTTATATTTAGATTATGACAATATTATAAATTATGTTATAATTACTTGCAAAAAATGAAACAAATACATATTTGTAAATCATATTAAATTAAATTGAGACACTAATTATGTTATTCATGGAGAAACTAATTATATTCATTCAGAAAAAAATTAAAATATACACCAATGGAGTTAAGCAATAATGTTACCACAGTTATAATATATAGTGTAGGTCTTTTGGTGGGTATCTATATATATAATCTCCATGGTTATAATTTTATTCAGCTGTTTACACTATTGTCTATGTCTGCAAAGTGAATGTAATTTACTATATATATATATATATATATATATATATATATATATATATATATATATATATATATATATATATATATATATATATATATATATATATATATATATATATATATATATATATATATATATATATATATATATTTTTAACAGGCTGCTGGATGTGTTAAATTAATTTTTAATGCATATATTTGATTTTTACTACAAGTAGTTACCCTAAGTACACAAAAGTATCAAAAAATTGGCACTGTATTTCTCTATGTATGAACTGTAGCACACCAAAGTTAAACAATTTTATAAATATTGTATTATTTTACAACTTTGAGGTACAATAATTCAAAAAATGTTGAAATCAATCAAAAACATTTGCATAAATAAATTATTTAGGTGAACAACTAATAATATACAAAATTTCTGATCATCTTTTTTGTTTACAAATTTATAAACATCAAAAATAATGTCAAAAAATAAATGTAAGCTCTTAATACTCAAATTTTGGTCAATCAACCTGAAATTTTCAGGGTTTTTCAGATTTCATAAAATATGTAGGTGGTCAAAATTTGAAATAAATCTGTGGTGGTACCCTGAGAGGAAATGAAAAGTATTTTTATTATTATCCTTATCTTAAAAATAAATGTTGTCTGTCCTACATATTTAAATTTTTGTATTAAATATACAATTAATTATTAGAATAAGTCACATTGCACCTCCCTTAACAATGGACATAATAACATCAACATAATAGTATATATTGAAAATATATTTTCTTATCTTCTATTATCTTACTCTAACTTTTTTATTTTGCTTTCTGTCAAAAAATGAGTGACATTGAAATATGAAAACTCTTGAATGATCTGGTTTACTGCTCAAGCAAACCAGATCATTTAAAGACAGACAGATCATTTAAAGACATTTTAAGGTAAAATGAAAATAGTAGGATTATTTAATCATTCCAAAATCATATTAATTTGCAATCCAGGGACTATTATATCTTAATTTTACTTTATATGGAGTATATTTGGGCACTTCACCACTTTGTCACTTTCTATTGAAATTTCAGCTGTAAACTTTCGAATCATTATAATTGTAAAATTATTGTGTTTAAGTAAATCATTTTTATTTATTTTACAAGAGTATGTTGAGATCTAATGAGATTAGAATAAGCCTAGATTTTATATAAACGTTTTTATAATTTAATAAGTGTCTCTATACAAGACATATTGGTTTACTAGTTCAGTCCTCTATTTATAAACACTTTAGCCAATTATTATTTCTCATCTATGGTTATAAAATAATGATTTAGATAATGTATACAAAATGGTTTACAAAATAGTTCTTTCTTTTATATTTGAAAATAGAAATGTTAGTAAATAAGTTTTAAATAAATAAAAATTAAATAAAAAATAACTTCAAAATATCATTTGACTTACAACATGATTTAATATCAAATGTATTTAATTTTAAATAGTTTTATTATGGTTTAAAAAAATTTATTTTCAGTATAATAAATGCTTCAGGTAAAGTAGATTAAAATAATAAAAGATTAAAATAGATAAAAAATAAGGTATGTAAAATGTACATATATATATTTTATTTTATTTTAGAAGTTTGAACAGCAGAAAATTAATAGCAACAGATTTTTTGATTGATTTTCATTATTTATCTTTTTTGGGTGCACATAATTCTATAATAGCTGAACAAGATTTTAAATTTAGAACAAGATGTGTGTGTTTTTACTTTATTTGTATTGACTTTATTTTAATTTAAATTTTGTTTAATTTTAATAATTTAATTTGTGTGAAATTTCTATAGAAAGAATTTTAATTAGCATTTTGCATATTTATTTTTTGATGTAGTTTATTGGCTTCATGCAAATTATTGCATTATGCAAAATGAAATTGTTCAAGCTGTGAATGCTCTGAATAATGTAAGATTTTTTTTTCCTTGTTTTCAAAATGATTGCAAGTTAATTATTCTGTTAATAAAAAGTTTCTCTTTTAATAACCTTTTCAAAAGCCATTTTATTATAAACTTTTATAATAGAGTTCTTATAACAATTTTTAAATTATGTTATGTTTACATCCTTTTGTTATCTTATGTTTTCATCCTTTTGTTATCTTATGTTTACATCCTTTTGTTATGTTATGTTTAAATCCTTTTGTTATGTTATGTTTACATCCTTTTGTTATAGGCTGTTTACCTCTTTAACTTTATGATAATTACACCCTTGGCGCTATCACCCTTTAGCTATATGATAATTACATCTAAGGTGCTTACCCCTTTGGCTATATGATAACCACACCTTTTTTTTAGTGTGCTTATACCTTATCAATTGCATCATTAGAAGAAATATCTATATCAAATTGTTGCAAAGATAATATTATCAATCAACGTAAAACACTTGTTTTTCTTTTTGTTAACTGCTGTTTGTTTGTTGTTGTTTTTTATATAAATAATGTTTTATTGGTAATTTTTTGTCTCTTTTTTTTTTTTTAGATTTTTATCCTTATTTTAGTTTTTAAAAAATTAAAAAGTTGCTATTTGGCAAAAACTTTATTTTTTTTATTTGATTCTTTTTCTAATTATTTAGCACCAAAGTAATTAAGTACCAAAGTGATACCCAAGTGCTAACCAAGTTACTGCTAAAATAGTTTTATTTTTAGGAACAATTATGAAGAAATTAGAATTTGTACAGCAAAGTCAAACACTTGATGAGGTATAGGTCCCTTTTATAAGCGTTTTTTAGTGTTCTTACAAGTTTCATACAATTATTTTCCATTTTTTGAAATATATAACATCTTCAAAATTCAAAGCAAAAAATGAAGCAATAAAATTACAATATAAGTCAAACTATGCCTGATTTTGCTTACTGACAGACAAATTCATGGTGATTTTATACAAAAATTCAAAATTAATATTTCAAGAGTGGCTTAATTGATTTTGATAGTTTTAAATTTTTTCAAGACATGTTTAAATCTCAACACAGTAAGGTTTTAAAAAACAACTTCAAGCCTATTGCAGTATTTTCTCATTTTAGAGCAGATACCTTGCATCATCTTTTGAACAGCAGTTTTCTAAAATTTTTGTGTTACTGCGCCCCTAAATTTAGCTGAATTCATTGATATTTGCCACAATATTTCTCTTAATTAGTATTTAATTAGATGAAGCGCAACTTTACTTTTGTGATCAACAATATCTTTTTACAATATTTTAAAAGTTATATATTAGTATTTAATTAGATGAAGCGCAACTTTACTTCTGCTGTCTTAATTTTTTTGGGATTCAAAATTCACGCGATTTTGTTGATACTATTTGATTACACTTTTTGAGTAATGGCAAAATGCAAGACAGAAGATAGGTAGATTTTAGATTATAGACATAATCACTTTTAAACATTCTTCAATATAAACTTTCTAGTAAATGTTTCTATTTGTGAAAAATGACTGTATTTTGGAGTGTTTTTGTCCTGGTTCCTGAATTTGCATTGGATTTACTTTGGATTTGCAATGATCGTTTTATTAAATTATGTAAAATATGTTCATAAATCTTCCTTTATTAAATGCTAATTATAGATTATAAATATCCTTATAAAGTAAATGCTTAGAAACTATGTGTTAATAGAGCATGGTTTCCTTATACTGTCTTTATATTACTCATTCTATGAATTTACAATAACTAAATTTTAACCCAAACTTATTAGAGGCAGGTTCAAGAATGAAAAAGCAACTTACATATAATTAAATTTAAAAAAGCAATTTAGCATAAAGATATATCTTTATTTAGCATAAAGATATATATTTTTTTGTCTAGCTTATGATGTTCAATTATTTGTGTCTTGAGATGGCAGAGGTTTCCAGAGATGTCTTGGGTAGGTTTGCTGACATAATAGGAGTTACATCCAACAAAAACAAATCTATAGATTTTAACTTTTATGATAATAATGATTTAAAATCTTAAGGGAGGAAAAGGAATAATTGGAAAAAAACTAATCAAGAAATTTTTAATAAATAAACATAACATGTATATATATATACAAATATATATGTATACATATATATATATACAAAATGAAAAAAAATTTTGCTAAGTGATTTTCTACTAATTTATATATACATATATATACATATGTATATATATATATATATATATATATATATATATATATATATATATATATATATATATATATATATATATATATATATATATATATACACGCAGTTGTCACCCATCCCATTAGCACCAGCTGTAATTTTTAGTATTATGTAAAAATGAATTTTTAGAATCTTATTTATAAAGTTATACTTGATAAAAAATAAACAAATAAAACTAAACATTTTGAATATTTAATTGTTACAATAAATTATATAAAAAATATATAAAGTAATAATATTTTGTAAAATAGCCCGTATTTGTAATAACTGCTTCGATGCACTGTGGCATGCTTGCAATTGATTTTTTTATAGTTTCTATCACCTCTGGATTATTGAGTCAGATCCTGATAATCTCTTTCATAAGATCTTGCTTGTTAGTAAGATTTTTTTTTCCAATCTCTCACTTTAGTATTTCCAAATATTTTCTATGAGGTTAAAATCAGTTGAGTTGCCTGGCCATGGCAATACATCAACTTTTATTTTATTTTAAATGAGCCATAACACTTTTTGCTATGTGGCAAGTTGCACCATCTTGCGTAAGTATAAGATTTTTTACATTTTTTTTACATTTTTTGACTAATCTGCCATTTGGGAAAACAACTGATTCTCCAGAATTTTTTTATACTGGTCCTCCCTCATTGTCCCAACCACTTTGTAGAGAAGCCTTGCTCTTTGTCCACAAATGATAGACCAGATCATTACTGAAGCTAGATGCTTGATTGTTTCCACAGTGCAGTCAGGATGAAACTTGTCATTTATTCTATGGCAAACAAAAACTGTTTTGTCCATCATTACTTGAAAGGCTGACTCATCTAAGAAGCAAATCGAAAATAATGCTTATTTTAAGTGATAATAATTATAAAATTTAAAATAATTTATGAATATGAATGTGATTAAAAATACTTTTTCCCAATCCTCAACAGACCAGTGACAACAATTTTGAGCCCACTTCAGTCTTTTTTTTTTCATGAATAAAGTTAGTTTTGGTTTCTTAGCTAGACAATCACACATCAATCCTTCTTCTTTCAGCCTTCTGCGAATGGTTCGGTCTGACACAACAATACCAGCTTTATGGATAAGTTTAGCCAATAAGTTTTGTGGCTTTTTTCTGTTTTCCAGGCAGATATTTTGGTTAATACAGTCCGCTTTTGGTGTTGTCTTATGTTTAGTTGGTGTTGTCTTATGTTTAGTTGGTGTTGTCTTATGTTTAGAAGGTCGTCTATTTGGACCAAACTCTTCCCCTGTATCAATTTTTTTTTCTCACGGCAAGAAACCTTCACAATTTGTGCATTTTTTTGTTGAGAATATTTAGTATATTGTAAAAGACATCTGATTTGACTTATTTGAATTTATTTGGTTTAGTATCACATTTTTTCCCCATAACTGAAAATTTTAATAAAGAACTTAAAAAAATGACTTGACTTTACATAAAAAGAAAAAAAAACATAAAATCTATTATTTAAAGATAATGGACTTAATGATTAAGTTCGAAAAAAGTTTATTAAATAAAGCACAGATGCTTAAAGTTAAAATAAATCAGATTAAAACTGCAATCAAACTAACAATTAAAAATAATCTTAAATTGTCCAATATGCACCAATTTGACTATGACAGGTGATTGCTGACAGCCAGAATTGCCAATTGATAAAATTTAAATTAAATATTACTAAGAATAGAAATAAATTGACATGTAACAAAAAATAATATCATATTTATCATATTATATGTGTTATATAATTATTAGAGCAAGTATAGTGAAAACTAAATAATTATTAACTGCCCTGACTTATTTAATATTGATAATATTATATTGAAATATATCTTAATAATTATTTTGTTTTCACTATATGTATATATATATATATATATATATATATATATATATATATATATATATATATATATATATATATATATATATATATATAATATATTATTTACAGATTCAGGTTACTTTTAATGCTGGAAAATATGAAGAAGTTATTGATCTTTTAAAGTTAGCACTCAATGAAAAGGTTTTTTTCTATGAAGTTAACTATTTTTAAGTTTGGTTAAATAATTTAATGAATAAATTAAAAAATTATGGGATAAATTTATATATTTGATAAATTTATTGCTGTATTTTATTTTATATTTGTTTCATTTTTACTTATTAAAATTTAATTAATATGAGAGTTTAAACAATTATTTTTAGATAGGAAAAACAGGTTTAACCACAGAAAGGCCTTTACAACTTGTTCTCTTGCTTGAATCCTATTTGAAAACTGGGCAAATTAGGGTAATTGATTAATTTAATTGTAAATTTGTAAATTTTGTTTATATTATTTGTCTTTTATTTATGCTATATTTAAAAATTCTTAAAAAAAAAATCATGTAAAGTTTATCTTTTAACTTAAAGAATTGCATAGAATGTTGTTTAATTGCATTAAATGAAGCAGTTGCTTCTGGTATATCTGATCTTTGGAGAGTTCATTTGAATCATTTGCTTGTTCTTGTTTTTGAGTATGCACATAGTTTTATATGATAAAAAAGTTTGTTTTTTTTTCTTTTTTTTTTTCTCATTTTTATTGAATATTTCTTTTTATTTTGAAATATTTTTTAAGTTATTTTATTTTTGCATAGCTGTTTTTCAGATGTACTGTTCCATTATGATTATTTGTTATTGAAAGACAAACAAGTATTTGCTGACAGCTTTATAAAGGTAAGTTTTACAAATATATTATTGTCATTTCTGATTAATCAAAAAAAAATGTGTTTGGACTCCTTACATCTCAAAGTTTAAAAAAATTTCAAAGCTTGTTATACTATAGGCAACTAATTTTTAAATCCTTTTGCAAGACAGACTGTTATATTTTAAGTCAATATACCTATATTAATACAAATTATTTAGTATAAAGATATGATGATATCAATTTCATAATTTTTAGATAAGTCCAGGGCATTGAATTATGGCATTGAAAAAATCCAGCCCTATATACATAAAGTTCCCCTATAAAATACTAAGGAGGCACAAACAACAAACTATAAGTAGATTTAAGAAGATCTAACACAAAGAAAGAATCTAACACAGGTTTACATCTACATTAGCTTATTAGATGAAGTTACAGAAATATTCTCCTAAACCTTAAGGTTTTTGCCTAGGACATTTTTTAGAAGACAGTAACCAGATACATTAGTCCAAGATGTGTATTTATTAATGCACAATCTTCAGCACATCACAATCTTGCAAAAAAAGTTTAAATTTTATTGATGGGAATTATGGCTAGTCTTTTCCTTCTAAGATATTTGTTAATGAATTTCATAGAAGTTGTTTCCATTACATAAACTAGAGACAGAAAAGCTGATTTTCAAAGTTCCAAAATTGTGGTTATTTGATTGCAACACTTCATATATTAATTTAGATTATAAGTTGTCTCAAAATTTGAGTCCTTTATACAATTGCTGTTGGATTTACTTTTTCCAGTAAAAGTAGCAAAGCGTTTCTGTAGGCTCATTGGAAATATTTCTTATTGAAATTGCCTTACACCAGAGTGGTTTTTTTAACAAGCTTTGCTTTAATTAATGAAGAAAAAAATTCTAAATGTAGTCCTGATTTAAACAAGTACAAACAAAATACAGACATAGTGAAAATTTTTAAAACAGCTTTCTACTTATTGCTATAACACTATAGATTGTGACACTTAGTTACTAAGTTATAATAGTTATACTTAAAAACAATTTATGGAAACACAAATTTAAAAAGTTTATTAAAAAAAAAACTTTGAAAATATCTACTTTTTTTTTTTGTTAAAAAATGATAGTTTTTAAGCCATAAAATTTAAACTAGTAGTCTTTATATAAAATGATTACATACATACATATATATTGATCATATAGATTACATTTATAATAGATTGTGCAGAGAAAGGAGTAGGGTTAAAACACATTAAAAGTCAATAAGCAAAATTAAAACCATGTTAAATTAATGCAGTGTTTTTCAAAAGATGCTATGAAATTTAGTTGTGGTCAATTTTTTGTGTCAAAAAAATTTAAATAACAAGAATTCTAATTTTGTTGGTAAAAATAAGTTTAAAATCTTGCAAAATACAGGCTAATTAAAGACGTTTGAAGTTTTTGAATGGTGAAGTAAGGAAAAACTGGCATGCTAAAATGTTGCTTAGGCGGTTTTGTGCATCAAGTCTTAGCTTAATCACATTTGAATACAAAGGAGAAGGTGAAGAAGGAAATGTTGTTACGAGAAGATTCAAAGACAAAATAAATTTTAACCATAAAAGACATTAAAAAAACATTCAAACAAAAATTTAAACTACGAGCACATCTCTTGAATCCAAGTACATATCACGACTTGAATCCAAGTATGGTTCAAATCATAAGTACATATCACAACTTGAATCCAAGTATGGTTCAAATCATAAGTACATATTAAATCACAAATTAAATCATAAATACAAAAATAACGTTGACAAAACTGAATACCATTTTTTATTTTTATTTTTTTTGACAAAACCAAATAAATAGTAATCTATATTGATATTAATTAAAATAATTAAATAACTAAATTAGGAATTATATAATTCTTGTAAGATTTTTTATTTAAAGAAATGCATTTCTAGTTAAAAATATTTTTGAAAGATATTGAAGTTTAGCTTATCTTCCTGCTTAAATTTTTTTTATTTATGAAGACAATTAAAATTTGTTTTTTTTTTATTTTTTTTTATTATATAGATATCCTAATATCTTTGATAAAAACAAAAGTTCAGCCAGAAATTTTTAGTTTTGTTGATATTTATTTTTGATTTTAAAATGGCAATTCAAACTTTTTGCTATTAAAGTATTAAAACTAGTTTGTTTCATTACAATTATAGTTAATTAAAATATTGTCTTGATTACCTGACATGATTTCTACATCTTTATGTGTTTTCAATTTTAAAAATTGGTTTGTTCATTTTTATAGATTATAGAGATATCAATGACAATTGAGCAAATTGAGAATCATTGTGTTTCAACCTTGCCTTGGATACTGCTTCATAAACTTTTAAAATTGTGTGTATTTTTTTAAATCAGTTATTAAAACATTTTTAAATAAGCAATTTGGTTTTATCATTATAAAAGTTTTTTTTTTAATTTTTATATTTCTAAATATCACCGTTAAAAAGATCATAAAAAACCAAATGGGTACTTGCATCATAAAAGTATAATATCCAAAATGCTCAAAAACCACAATTAAAACAATAAAAAAATTTGTTAAAACAATAGTTTTTAAATTATGTTGTATTTCTGCTTTGTTTTAGTGATTTGTGTTTGAACAAAGAAAATACTGGTCATTCTTTAATTGAGTTCTTAAGAACAGCTCATGATTATCTAGGAAGGTTAATTGTTTCTTTTTTAATTGTTTTATTCTTTTTTAATTGTTTTATTCTTTTTTAATTGTTTTATTCTTTTTTAATTGTTTTATTCTTTTTTAATTGTTGTATTCTTTTTTAATTGTTGTATTCTTTTTTAATTGTTTTATTCTTTTTTAATTGTTTTATTCTTTTTTAACTGTTGTCAAAATATTTAAATACTTTATATAGAGTGCAATTTTAAATAAATAATTTAAAAAATTCCACAGCATAGTTTAGCTTTGTATAGTTTTTATTTATGTTTTAGAAGTATTTTAGAATTTCTTGTATTTAAATTGATTTACATAGTTATTTATATTTATTATAAAAAAAATTATATACAATAACAGAAAACACTGGTGTTGTCATGACAAAGGAATGTTTCTTCAGTATTTTATTAAAGAACTGCAAGAAATGAACACATACGATTTAAAATTGCATGAAAAAGAGGTAAAAGTTCATTGTTTCTATAAACTGTAATCAACACTATTGTTTTGTCTCTAAATTACAAACATTCATAGGCATGTAGAACCGGTCACTTAAACAAAGTAGGGTAATTCGTGGCCATAGTGATACTGGGGCATAAGGTTTTCTTAAGGTTGTTTAAAAACCTATATTTGCATTTGTAAATAATGATCTTTTATATGGGCTTACATTGCATAAGTGTAGTTTTTGTAGAAAAACTACACTTACATCAAGCTTATATCTAGTTGATCAGTTTTTATCTATTTGTAACTGTCTAACTTTGTATATACTGCTGTTGTGTTTATAAAAATAAGTGACTTATTATTTTTTTTATGTTTTTATTATTGTTATTATTATTTTACATTATTATTGTTATTGTTGTTTTTTTCTCATTATTGTGATTCTTATTTTTATTATTATACATAGTTTTTATTAATTAATAATTAATAAATGGGAAAAGTAAAACTTTTGGACACATGATGTAATTTTCAATCAAAATAAAAAAATTTCATCATAAAAAATTTCATAATAATTTCCTTTTCTGAGAGATACTTTTGAGCAAGAAAACAATTTTTTGTTATTCTCAAATATTGTTTTTATGTTTTTATAAATATATTTTTTACACAAAAATGTTACAATTTTAAAAATGTTTTATATTAGGTGTTTCTTAAAGATATGGAACAATGTCTTTATTGTTTATATGGTGACCCATGTAGAAAATCTAAAGTAAGTTATTTTTAAAGATTGACTATAATTATTTTGTGTATATACATTATAGATTTTATATGTGGCATATAAATATATATATATATATATATATATATATATATATATATATATATATATATATATATATATATATATATATATATATATATATATATATATATATATAAAATTCAATTTATACTAATGAATTTTATCTGGTGATGCCATTTTTTTATTGTTTTATTTTTCATTCTTTTTTTTGCCTAAAAACTGGCTTAGTTCGTTTTATGAACTTAAGTGAACACGTTTTTACACACAATATTAAAATTTATTTTAATATTAGAGTATAGTAGTATATTTTTTTGCCTTAATAAATCAAATTAATAAAGATTTAATAAAATGAATAAAATAAAGTTATTAATTTCATAGTATTTATAAAAATTATAACCTTTGTATAAAAGGTGCAAAAGCGCATTGTTGACCAACTCTAGCCAGGAACTGGAAACTTCTATCATGTTTTCATTAGGTTTTTACTTTTTTTGAAGCTATTATCTCTTGTTCATTCTAAGTTACCCATGCAACTAGTCATTCAATTCTTCTAAGTTACCTGTTGGTCAAGGTCATTGCTCAAGCAAGTTATTATCACTTGTTCCATTACCCTAAACATAATCTCCCATGAATCTTCATTCAGCAATGTTGCATTTTTATTGTAGCATATTCATGCTCAAAAATCTTTTATTTACTAAGTTTTTTTCCTATGACACCAGTGTTTGGACTTTTCACTTATCTTTATATTTTGTTGACTCATACAGTTGACAATTTTTTTAAATCTTCTGTCTTTTTTGCTTTCTATCTTTTTTGCTCTCTAATATTTTTGTTAACTTGCATCTTATTTAGTGGTTGCTTGCTTAGTGAGGATAGGATTTGTTTTAATTTGAGAGAGTAGAAAATAAAAGTAAACAAATAGAAAAAAAAGAATGTAAGAAGAGAAAATAGTGAGAGAGAGTCTTAGTATTCTAAAGCTAAGCAAAGAATATTCTGTACTTTAAGTTTCAACTTTTGAGTTTTATTTGAAAATATTGAACTGTCATGTTGGATAGCTCAATAAAGAAAAATGAATAAGCTAAATTGTTCTCTTAAGGTGAGTTGCCTAATGATGAACATGCATGCAGTCATACATACATGCATATATACATATGTACATACATACATACATACATACATACATACATACATACATACATACATACATACATACATACATACATACATACATACATACATACATACATACATACATACACCCATACATACATAAAAAATTATAATATCAGTTCCATATTTCCATATTTTAGTCAAAAGTACTTGTTGATCATAACGACGCTCCTGTAAGTTTCCTTTTTTAAGTTTTTTTTATTTTTATATATATATATATATATATATATATATATATATATATATATATATATATATATATATATATATATATATATATATATATAATTAAACATTTATACAGATAACACTAAACTGGTCAAATGCAAAAGTTTTGTATGACTTTTATAAGCCAAATGAATTACCTCAGTTTGATCTTCGAGCTAACACCATTACTCCTGAGGTATTTTTTACTTTTCATTTAAATTTAGAATTACAGTAGAGGTTATTAAATCAATTATTATAATCACTTTCAATAAATTTTCTAAAATGCTTCAAGTTTGAAATAGCAGATGTTTATCTTAGGTTCAAAATGTCTTCAGAAAAATTGTTGCTATTGTTCCAAAGAAAGATATAGAAGGTGTTTTAGTATTATTTGATAATTTAAAAACAAAAACAAAAAAGACTTTTTTTTAACAATTTTTGATATAACATTTTATAGCAATACCATTTGAAGAACTGGTATTATATATTGAAGGTGGCAGAGATTTTCCTGAGATAGTTGAGAAACAGTATTTTTTTTTTTTTTTTTTTTCCAGATTTTGATAGTATTTGATACAATTATTTTTATTTAAAAATGTCTTCTTGCTTTAGAATTAAAACTCCTTTTTTGTTTTATTTAAAAAATTTGTTGTTGCTTTAGAAATGAAACTCCTGATTTGTTTTATTACCTTGGAGATTTTTATTTCAAAAATAAAGAATTTAGTAAAGCTCTTAAATTTTATATGCATGATGTGAGCATTAATCCAAATCGATTTCAATCATGGGCAGCTATGGCACTTGCTAGAGGATCACGTCTTGAAGAAAAAATAAATCAGGTATAAACTATGAATTATGATTTTTATTATTTATTTTTTTTATGTTTAGTATTATGGTTATGATTTTTATATTTTTATTTGCATTATAAATGCATTACTTTTAATATAAGTATCAGCAGTAAAATATTTTTTTTTAAACAAAAAATTAATAATATTTGCTAAAAAAAGTTATTTTTTGCACAACATTCGCTAAAGACTTAAAAATTTTTTGCCCAATAAGAATGCTATTTTCTTCACAACTAACATGTTAATAATAGGTTTATTTTATGTTTATGTTTTGTTATGTTAATAATAATAGGTTTATGTTATGTCTCTTTTTTTTAATTTTATCAAAGGAATTAAAATTTTTTTTTTTGCAAATAATTAAAAAATTACTTCAATATTGTCTGTAGCAACAAAATCTTTATGTACCTATTTTTTATTTTGAAAGTGTTGTATATATATATATATATATATATATATATATATATATATATATATATATATACAACGGTGGCCAAAAATAAAAGACCACTCATTTTTTAGTTGGTTTCTTTAAATCAATTTTTTAAATCTTTAAATCAAAATTAAGAAGATTCTAATTGACATATTAAATTTTTTTTTTTAATATCTTGTTAATTAAAACATTTGGATTAAAATGGTATAATTTTTTTGAATCTAGTTCTAATTAAATAGCGTTTAACTTATTAAAAAACTGATGAGTACTTATAAATCTTCTTTAAATAAATTGGACAAAATTTAATGACCACTTTCAAATCTTTAATTTGCACTTATTAAAAATAATAATCGATTATTTTTTTTAACTGTCTTAATTGCTTATTACGTTGGCTATAAAATAAAATGTCGATATCAAATAAACATTTATTTTTTGAATTGCAATAAGGATATAAAAATATTGCAAATATGCGTGCAAAGATCAAAGAAAAAGACAGATACATGGCTCTTGTATTAAAAGAAGAAGGCTATAGCATCAGACAAATAGCAGAAAAGCTCGAAAGGTCTCACTCTTGCATTATTAACATAATTCAACAATACAAAGAGACCGAGTCAATTAATGATCGTCATAGGACTGGACGCAATAAAATTTCAAATGACTGTGATGTTCGCTCATTAGTGAGATTAATGAAAGAAAACAGACAAGCATCATCTACAGACTTGTCTACAAAATGGATACTGTCAAATGGTCTGAAAGCAAGCCCTAGAACTGTGTGAAGGGTCCTCCACAATTTAAATTATTTATGGCGTGCTGCTGCAAAAAAACCACGCTTAAATAAAAAATCATGCATTTTGAAATGAACAAAACAAGGCAGTGGTTCAATAGCCATTTGGGCATGTTGTTAGCGATTGGTTCAATTCTAATAAAATTCAAGTGATTTCAAGGCCTGCCAATAGTCCAGACTTGAATCCAATAGAGAATTTATGGTCGTGGCTTGATCACAAGCTTGGTAAAGAACAACTTTACAATTTGGAAGATTTAAAATCTTCTATCTTTCATCATTTGAATAATGTGCCAGATGAAGTAATCAAAACTTTAACGAATTCAATGCCAGAACGAGTACAAGAGTGCTTGAAAACAAATGGAGGAACAACACGTTTCTAAATTATTTTTTTATTGCTTTTTGAAATATTTTTGAAACTGGTCTTTAAATTTTGTCCAAGTTTTTTTTCCGTTTATATTTTTTACTGTGAGTTTTTTAATTTTTTAACATTTTGTAAAAAAATTATAAATTCTTTTATAATAAATGTAAAATACAATAAAAATTCTTTCTAAAAATGTTTTTCTTTTTTTGATATCTTTTTCCAAAATAAAATTATACTAAGGTTAAAAATAAATTTTGGAAAAAAAATGAGTAGTCTTTATTTTTTGGCCACAGCTGTATATATATATATATATATATATATATATATATATATATATATATATACATATATATATATATATATATATATATATATATATATATATATATATATATTATATTATATTATATTATATTATATTATATTATATGTATGTGTCGATATAATTTATTTTCTCTTGTTATGTTCAGTTATATTATGTCAGGTTTTTATTAATTTTTATTTTTTATTAGTGCGATCTCAAAAGTGACAGTGTTATGAGAAAACATATAACAACAACTTTGAGGTAAAGTTATTCTTGTTTGTAATATTATTTTATTATTGCACTTGGCTACAATCATATTTTAAATTTTTGAACTTGAAAGTCTTGCAGTTTTATTTTCAAATATTTTATTTTTATTTTCAAATATTTTATTTTGCAATTTATTTCTAAAGTTTATTTGTGCTCAGTCACATTTATTCTAGTTTCTTAGAATTTTTTTCTTGAATATTTTATTTAGATATTTTTTATGTAGAGAGAGAGTTGAGCTATCGAATAAAAGCTTGCAGAGTACGGACTTGAAAAATATTAAAGCAAAACAGATTTAAAGCTGCTAAAAAAAATTTTCCAAAAAAATTTTCAAATGTCAAAATCAAGGTATCAGCACAAACCAAAATAGAATCTAATAGTGAGAATTTCAATGTTATGTCACAAAAATAGAAGTATGACTCTAAAACATATGAAATGAAGATTATTGTTTGCAAAGAAATATCTGAACATGCCCATAGAGTACTGGAAAAAAATCATTTGGAGTGATGAATCCAAATTTAATCTAATCTTAATAGATGATCAACAAAAAGTCTTGTGGAAACAAAGCGAGACATACAAATTAAGTTTCATTAGAAAAACAATAAAACACAGTGATGAAAATATCATGGTGTGTGGATCAATGGCTTGGCTCTCATTAAATTAACTATGAAAGCCAATTCGTATATAGACAATTTAAAGCAAAATTTGACACCCTCCTCTTGTAAATTTAGTTTTAGAAATGGTCTTGTGTTTCAACGGGACAATGATTAAACACTTACTGCCAATCCAACAAAGGAATATTTTTTCAAAAATGATGTTAATGTGATGAAATAGCTTGTCCAGTCTTTAATATTAGAAGTCTTAAATCCTTAGAAGTTTCTAACTCTAATCCCATTTTTTCTGGATTCTTCGATGTCATATGAACTTATATTTGACAATTAAAATACTTTAATGTTATTTTATTTTCAAGTAATAGATCATTTTTTCCATTAAAAATGTTAAAACTTATGGTTTTTTTAATTATTTTACAGAAAATTTAAAAAAAGATTGTGTCATTTATTTTTTTGCCCATCGAGATTACAAATACAAATTTACTGTGGGAAGTTGCAGTCATGTGATCAAAAAGGTACAAAAATTAATAATAATACTTAGATAATCACCATCAAAAAAGAATATCTTGCAAAGATATGTTGTGGCTGAATTTGCAGAGTGAATAACTCTAATAAGACTGTATAACTAGATAGAACAGTCAGTTCTTCAATTTGTTTATTTATTAAAAGTTTGTAAAGGCATTATTAAACATAAGTCTACCTGAAGGTAAATCTTTGCTATTTATCATTGATACACTAATCCCAGTAAAAGCAACAGTTGAGGCTCTATGGTAACACAGAGATGCTAGTTTATTGACAATCAAGATTGCTACAACTTTTGTGGTAAAAAAAACTTCAAGATTTAATTGTTGCATTCTTTTGTTCTTTGAATACAACAAAAGTGTTTTACGTGTAAGTGTAAACACAGATATGTGTGATCCTCTAGTAACTGCACAATGCTAAAACCAGCTTTCCCTCAGAATCTAAAATAGAGCTAGTATCAGTTCTGTCTTAAATAAAATATCGCAAATTAATAATTGAGTTACTCAAAAGCCTAGATGCTTTAAATCTTGATTCATCATTAACAGCTTGTGAGTCTGAATCTGAAGTTGAACTTTTTTGTTCAACTTTAGCTGCAGCATCTCTCATAATTAAATAGGTGCAAAAATGATGTAAGTCCACTTTTTATCAATTTTCAGGTTTTAATGGATATATAGTTCTATCAGTTAGTAAAAAATGACATAGATTCAAACACTGCTTGTGTCATTAATCACACAATTTGTTAGAAAAAAATATATTTCCTACATTCATTTGGTGCATAAATGAGGTAACTCATTTGATTGAGTTACCTTATTTATGCATTTTGTTAAGAAGTTGGAAAACATGTTCCTGGTCTAAGAGACATGGAGGGCAAACACAAAAACTGTTCCAACATGGTACCTGAAGATTGTAAGCCGAAAAAGATGTTTACATCGAGTCTTTTTCAAAGTAAACATCCCATTACAGCAGATCTAAAAATCAAAAAAATAAATTTTTTTTTCTGAGTTAAATATGCAAAAAATGCACAAAATCTATCTAAAAATATACGAGCCTGCCATTTATAACAGTTTGGAAAATAAGAAAGATACTATAAAGTTGTTAGTTACAAATGATCATTTTGTTGATACCTGTCAAATTACCTACTTTGGGAATATAATTTTTTTATATTTGCATTTCTGAAAAGTCTTATTTCTTTATGTATGATGAAACGATTGCCAAAAAAGGATAAAATGATGTTATGAGCTTCCTGGATTTTTTTATTAAAAAATTTCTTGTTGCATTATCCAAAAAACTCTAACTGTATTCAGACAACTGTTGTTCACAGAATAAAAATCAAGCTCTTTCTCACTATCTATACACTTTAGCTCATACTGGAAAATTTACCAATATATTACATCAATATCCATAACCAAAGTTTTGGTTGGATCAAGAAGGAAAAGAAAAAGAGAGGAAGATTATTTTTACCAGAAAAATGGATTTCTCTAGTTAGAGACATGTCACAAATTTACTGTTGTGCCAGTAAACCAAGAGCTGTTCTTGAACTTTAGTAGCCATCTCTCTCCTTATTTCAAGAAAAAGGTCAATAAAAACTTAAAGATTTTTAACCTCCTCTTACCATGTAATGGATTACTTAAAAAATCATGTGCCATGCAGCAGTTTGGCCAGTGGTATTTTGAAAGAAGATTTTGTCCTTCAAATATAGAGTCTGTCTGACTTTAAAAAATAATGTTTAACTTTATTCAGGAGCAATACCAGCAAAGTGTATTTACAGTTAAAAAAACAGAGAAATATGTTCCACCAAACTGCTTGCGGTTTTACTACATTTTGAATTGCCAAGATGCAGAAAAATCTATCCAGATTCTGAGGGTAGCTTCACAGACTAACAGACAGTTTTTTGTTGTGATTTAACATTATAAATAATAAAATATAGTACGCAGTTTGAAAATTTAATTACTTTGTTACTTGTCTATTGTGGTATTTTTTTACTGGATTTAAATCAAATAAATAAAGTTTTATTTAAAAAATTTTTTTAAAAATCTACTGCATATTAACCAAATAATTTTAAAGAAAATTTAACATAAGTAAATATAGCATTTATAAACTTATTTGATGTATTTTTGTCATTTCAAGTCTTGTTTTTCATTTCAAGTCTTGTTTGTCATTTCAAGTCTTGTTTTTCATTTCAAGTCTTGTTTTTCATTTCAAGTCTTGTTTTTCATTTCAAGTCTTGTTTTTCATTTCAAGTCTTGTTTTTCATTTCAAGTCTTGTTTTTCATTTCAAGTCTTGTTTTATTGGATCTTAACAATAAAAAGTTTAATTTCAGCAGGTGCAAAAGTAATATAACTTAACAAGTTTTTTTTTCTATATTATTCTTAGTAATAATGATTCAAAGACAAAATTTTAAGTGAGCGAAAATTTTATACTAAGATACTATACTAAGCCTATGCAATAATTTGGAATATTTGTAAAATTATTTTGTTTTTTCTTTCTCCTCAACAATTTGTGGAAATGGTGTTTTTGCACCCATGTATTCAATTGTTTCTAACTTTTTTGACTTTTATTTTTTTTATCTTTTGAAAAACCTTAATTATTTCAAACAAACTAAAGCTTTAAAAAAAACTTTTCACACCGCTAATATGTGGATGCCAATATGTGAGACACTTGGTAAAAATTCTAATAAAATGCTGTTTAAAAATGGAAACACACAGTGACCAGTTTCCATGGTCAATGTATGTTTTCCATTTTTAAACAGTATTTTTTTATAATTTAAAAGTTTTTTTATATAATAGTTTTTTATATGATTGTGTCTTAAAGTCCTGGGATTAAAATAAACTTTAATCCCAAGACTTCAGGACACATTCATATAAAAACTATTATATAAATCCACAGGGTTACTAACTCTAATTGTATTCATTAGTTGGATTTTTAACAAATTTTTGCGTCATGTAAGAATGGTATTATATTCTCTCCAAATTTACTCACAATTACCTTTTTACTCAAACTCTTTACATATTGATACTCAATCTACAATGTATTATAGTATTGCTTACATAAAAACGTTTTGTATTTCTTCATGATCATTTGATCACCCTACTACTGGTTACATACTGGTTAATCTAGTACATCCTACCCAATGTCCTGCTGTAGGATTCGCCTTTCTTGGCAAAGACTTGGAGAAGTTAACTCTAAATTAAAACACTGCCTGCCTTGGGCTTTTGGTTGAGTAAAGGTTAGAGATAATGCTTCAATAAAAGTATTTAGCTAGGTCATATGTTAAATGATTATATATACTGTCTTGTATTAAGTCTTCTGGGCAAAGACTTTTTGGGTAAGCAGAAAAGTTTTGTTGACCAGTCTTGTACCTCCTTATCATCCATTTGGCTAGTATAGATGTAAACCTGTGATAGGTTAATCCCTACAGAATGCTAATGCTATCTTTTCCACTCGTGGGTTTAAAGACCCTTAAAGACCAGAACTCTATGGTTGCCCTTAAAGGTTCCATCAACAACTGTAAAAGGTAGGTCGATTTTGGTATGTAAGTACCACTAAACTATATAAAGTTGGATATTTATATGTAAGTAACAAAAATAGCAAACTTTAGTGTTTTAACTTTTTTTTTGCAGAACTTCGATGGAGTTAGTGGATTTGAATACTTTGTAAACTTTTTGCTGTTTTATAAAAAAAAAAAATTATTCATTTTTTAAAGCATCCATGTATTGTATTTTGTTTGTAAACAATATTTAACTTCCTAGTTTTGTAGTCTTTAGTAAAGTCTCTGACTGTAATATTTAAAACGCCAAAAAATCAAGTTTATAAGCGGCTAATAAATATTTCTTAAAATATACTTTTTCATTCATTCGAGTCTATACAACTAGATTTACATGCTTAACTGGTTTATATTTTATAAATTTTACTTTTGTAGAATGATATAATGTAGTTAAAATAGACTAAAATGAACAATGAGCATATTTTACTAATTGTAAAAATATTATTATCAAGTAAGTTTTTATTTTGTGCAAAATTTAAATAGTTAAGTACTTTAATAAAGTGTTATTAATTTATTGCAAATAATTTGTGTCTCGTAATAATATGAACAAAGTATTTAGTTTTAGAAAATAAGAAAAGCCAAAAATAAAAAAAAGGCCCATTACGCGATCGAAAAGTGAAGAGAATTAGGGCGGTTGCCCCTGTGATTTAATTACAACAGATCTAAGCACATACAGACAATTGATTCAATTTTATTACTTCTTAGATTTTTCTGACATTAAGCCAAATTTTTGGGCAATTGTTAAGCATGTTTCATGTGTTTTAAAATCTATATGGTTATCCGTCAATCCACAATTGCCTTTAATAAACGATAAGTCTATAGAAACAAAAATTAAAAATCTATTTGCGACTGAAAAAAACATAAACCGCAAACACGCTAAAGAAAATAACAAACAAAACCTGGACTCTAAACTAGATAAACTTTTTGACATATCTGCTTTTTGCTGTTTATTGGATATTGTGTCATGTAACAGTGTTAATGTTTATGTAAAGTGTATAAATGCAAAATGGAACACATTATTTGTATATGTCCTAAAGGAGCAAAAGTTCCAATAGAAGAAAGAACTTATATACAAGATCAGCATTTCAGGTGTCTTCGGTATCTGCTTTAAAAACAAAACAACAGGAGTAAATAAAAGGTAAACAAAATCACATCACAATAATAATTAGCTTTCAAGTTTATTACCCACAGAATGTATATCTGAAATATCTCAGGTATTTTTATTTTCGTGGCTTTAAAATTTTAACTTGTTTTGTATATGTTTAATACTTGTTAATAATAAAATCATTTATGATAAGTATTTTTAATTTTTTACTTAAGGAACAGGATAAATGGAAACCAAGTAAAAGGATGAATGGAAACCAAGTAAAAGAACTCAGGCAGATTATAGTATTCAAAAGTTTCCAAGATATGCAATGGAGCTGGTCAGAGACAGATGTTCTTTAAGTCTCGGTGCAGCTCTTGGAAACGCCTTACTCCGTGATATCAAGCATTTATTGTTACCGGAAGTTGATATCGATAATATTCTAATGGATAAATGTAAATTAGACAGAGCCAAGTCAAAAATAAAAATAATTTCAATAAATGTAGAATTAGAAGAGAAGAAACAACTATTTTGCATTGGTTTAGATGGAAAGATAGATAATAACACGAAAATGTTTTTAAAAGCAAATTATTCTGAAAGAAAAAAGTTCATAACAAAATGTGTTGCTGCAGAGCATCACCTTACTTTTACACATGATAATGGCAAATCTCACGGGATCTACTTGACACACAGAGCAATACCCGTTGTTGGTGCTAGTGGGGATTTTCTTGCTCTTGAGACATTTAGTGTACTTGAAGAATATTACAGCCTGGAGACCATTGGTACTATTCTTTTAGACAATATTGCATCAAACACAGGTTGGAGGAGTGGCTTGGTGGTTAATCTAGAAGAGTTGATAGGAAGGAAACTTCACACAATAGGTTGTAGCCTTCATCAGAATGAACTCCCACTAAAAGCCCTTTTTAAAAAGTTAGATGGAAAAACAACTGGTCCACAAAATTTTAGTGGACCAATTGGAATTCTGAAGAAATTCATAAACAACCTTAAGTAGAGTTTGAAGCAATTCAAACTTCTGATCACTGAAAGATATATTTCGGATGAGATATTAAAAGATATTATTCATGATCAAAGGCTTCTTTACGAATATTAATGTATTGGATTAGGTAAAGTAGACAACAAATGGGCTAATTGTAAAATATGTGAATCATGCTCGATGGTTAACCCTTTCTATACAAATTCTTTGTTTATACACTCAAGATGTTTCTTCAAACGCAAGTCTTAAAAAGCTTACCCATTATATTGTTAAAATTTATGCTCAATCGTGGTTTCAAATAAAGAAATCTTCCACATTGCAAGATTTCCCCCAGATTCTGTTTTTTACTATTAATAAATTGAATCTTATTAAGTTTGATGATGAAAAATAATTCTATTAAAAAACATTCAAGGTAACGCTTTCTGTTTAATACCTGCAAATTTTCTCTTCACATTGGTTTAAAATGGTGATGATCCAGATCAGGACTCTCAGATTTGAGATAATACTCACGCTCAGAAAACAGTAAAAATTTTTAAAATTAGTTTTTCTATTTATAATTTATCAGGCAATTGTATATAAAGCTGCTCTATAACTCCAAGACACAAACCTTTACGAACAAGGCCACTGCGCGGAGAAATAAGTTGAGCGCAGTACTACCAGGGACATAGTGGGAATCGAACTCCGAACCTCTGGCTTATGAAGCGAGCTCTCTACCACTACCGCATTTTTTAAAAAATGTATTATATAATATTAAGTCATAATTAAGGTTATTATTGTTTTTTTTGTTTTGCGCAGGTTTTTTGAAAGATATTTTTATTTTTAGAAACAAAAGCAGTTATGGAGTAGAAAAGAAAATCCCTCAACTTAATTGGAATACTACAAGTGGATATCTCTTATTGATATTGCTGATCTTGCTTATATTGAAATAGAGTCACCACTACAAAAGAATTTTCTGATGATGATATTCACACATTCATTAAAAATAATTTTAAAAATGATATAAAGCCTAATATTCAAGACTCTCACTCCCAGAGCGTTGAGAGATGTGTCAAATTAGTTTCTGAAGCTTTTAACACCATATATGAATTTGAAGCCAGGCATAAATCTATACTAACAAAACTACTTAGCAGAAAAATGCGTCTAAGGTTTTTTTAAAAGGACATTATTCTCAGTCGTATGATGATTTATTTTCTTAACTTGCTTGTTAAATTCTTGAAATAAATTTTTTTTAGTTTTAATATTGCTTTTTCAATGAATTATTAAACTAATAATTATTATTTATTAGATTTTATTGAGTGTTTAATAAGATAATCAATGTAACACAACAAATAAAAAATTGATACTTTAATATAAATTGGACTTGTGAGATTTTTGCTCAATAAAACGAAACGATAAACTGTATCAATAATTTTAAATACAAATATTTGAGTTATTCCTTGGTAAGCCAAATTTTTTTTGATTAAGATTATGTCTAAACGTATTTAAAAGTATGAAACCACAAGCAAAAAGTTTTATTTTAAGTTAATATTTTAATAGCAATTGTTGATGAGGGTACTTTTAAATTTTGATCGCTGATCCACAAGCCGCCGTTTAACTATACACCTTCAACTTTTTATTTTTTTGTTTTATATATATAAATACACCTCTCAGTACCTTAGTCGTTACGAATTTAAAAAAAAAAGTGAAAATTCGATCTAATATATATATATATATATATATATATATATATATATATATATATATATATATATATATATATATATATATATATATATATATATGTAATATGTATTTCATTTGCATTAGAATAAAGAAATAAATGATATTATGATATACTAAATTTAATCTACTAATCTACATTGTAATCAAGTTTGCACTTTGTTTAGATGCTTTGAAAAAGCAGTATCAATTAATAATGAAAAGTGTGTTATTCTGGAAGAGGTTTGTATATATTGTTGTACGACCAATCAACTCTACATAACTAAGCTTTTTTTTAATGTCTTAATTTAAGAATCTATGTTTTATAAAATATTTTATACAACTTTAAGCAATCAGCTTATTAAACCTTGACTTTTATATGTCTAAAATAAAATATGTATTTTTTTAATACATATTTTATTTTTGTATTTGTATGCATTTTTGTATAGTTCTTTTGTATAGTATTTTGTATTTTTTGTATAGTATGGGCAAACAGCTTATATGTTAAATTCATATGCATCTAAACGTCTAAAAGAGGTAGGATGAATAAAGTTTCATATTTTAACATGTTTTACAGTAAATATAACCTTTAGGTTTTATAAAACAACTCCTTAAAAATGCTTTTTTAAAATCTTTTCTCATGAAACCTAAATCCTAACATTTCTGTTATGCTTTTTTAAAAATCGAGTAGATTTTTACTGATTTTGCAAAAAATGAGAATAGTTAGAGGCCATCCATATATTACGTAAGCAAAAATCTCCAGAAATTAACCCACTTCCCCTGTTGCAGCTCATAAATTTTTCTAATCGCCCCCCCCCCTCCTCCTTATGTGTACATACATTTAGTGGCTTTACCACAATCATTGCCTTCCCCCCCCCCTTTCCCTCATACAGTGGTTTTACTCCCCTCCCCCTCCCTCCTATATAAGTTTCATATGCTCAGTGGTTTTTTTTTGTTTCCTTTTTTTTTGCTTTATAACTTTAACAAGCAATGAACATGAGCAGCGTTCACCTTTTTATTTTTTGGCAAGTGAGCGTGTACTGCCACCTCAATTTTTTTTTTTTTTGCATTTGCATTTGCACTCATACACAAATAACCCTCCCTCCTCCCTCGGTGCATACATAGTATAAGGATGGAGCTTTAGTTAAAATTGCATATCTTTTTTTTAATTATACAGCTGGCACAAAGTATTTTAGGGAAAAGCTTGTCTTTGTTTCCTCATTTTTCAATTTAGTTATTGACAAGTCATTTTTAGTAAGATGACAAGGCATTTTTAGATCTTTTTAGAGGTCGTACTGTATAGTTCAGAGATTTTTATTCTAGGTTTTTGAAGTTAAAATTACATCTTTAAACTGACATCAAAAGAATATTTATGTGTGTTCTTATCTTCTTGGTCTTGATCCCCTTATGAAACAGGGTCAATATCCTTGCAACATCACTTCCCATCTGTTTACAAACCCTAGTAAAATTCATTTAGATCTTTGTGAGCTGCATTTTTTGTAAATACATTTTTAGTTGAAAAAATTTTTAACTAAAAATGAGTAACCTGTTCCTGAAATATAAGTAAACACAAGAAAATGTAATCCTCTGTAGTTACAAAATATTTATAAAGCTTTTATAAATATTTTTTGTTTTTGTTGTGTATTCAGCTATTTTATTTGTGTTAGCTGTAGACTGTATTTGAAGTTCTTTTTACTTCAATTTTTGTTAATATGACCTTAACTAGGCATGATCCATATTTTTCAAGTAGAAGAAGTATATTGAAAAAAAACAATCATTTTTTTTTCAAAATGGATTATTTCTAGACATTGTTGCAGCCTGTCTAAATCTAATATTATCAATGCGATCAAACCCCTTGTTAAAAACAGTAGTAAATATATTTTAATAATTGTATATGAATTTAAGATATGCTTATTTATTAAGATCATAAATAAGCATATAAGTTATTTATAAATCTTTTAAATAAGTTTTTTTTTTAATAAGAAACTCATGTCAAATTTTTATAAATAGGGAACTCAAGAAGGGAAACATGATTTACCAACAAATGAATATTATTTAAAAATGAAAAACGATATGTTAAATCTTTCTTTTAAATGTTTTAATGAAGCCCTACAGAAAGCAAGTGGTTGTGAAAATGAACAGTGGCTTCATTACTATATGTTAGGAAAAGCATCAGAAAAGCTAAAGCTATCACCTGATCAGTATTTGGAGTTTTACCAAAAGGTTAGCTTTACTTATTAGATTAAGTTGTAAATATATTTTTTTTTACTTTTTACAACTTTTTTTACAATTTTCATATAATTATATTAGATAAGGTAATATAACTTTACTAGCCTACAAAACAGACGTCAGGTTGCAAAAGCGACATCATGTTGGCAAAGTTTTGATTTTGATTTTTTACATCCTGTTACAAAAGTGTTAATGATTATTAGGTTATAAAAGTTTTGCGTTATAAGAGCTTAAACACTAATGTTTAAAAGAATGTAGCAATTAATCTTTATGCAAGTATTTACCAAATTTATGAATGAGTGATTTTTTAGTTTCAACTTTGTTTTTTAACGCAATGAAAAAAAAAATTTAATATATTTCATTGGTTTTTTTTAGATTGATCATAGAAAGAAAGTCGTATAGAAATGCAAAATTAGTTTATCAGCACTAGACAAGAATTTTATTTATAGTTAACTACCAGTTACCTCCACAGAGATATTTTTAGAGAGTTATGTTATCTCCACAAAGAATAAGAATTTTCTTTGTATAAACAAACGGGGAATCTGCTGTACTTTTTTGTTGGAATTTAAAGTATGCCTCAAATGCTAAAGAGGAATGTAAAATATAGTCTGAAAAGTTATTATTTTTTATGACTGATGTTCTATGTACTAATATTTCTGTTGCTAATTTAGCACAGCCTTTATTTTTATTGTGACATTTTTTCAAAAGCTCTAAATAGATTTTAAAACTTTATAACATAATAAACAGGCTAAAATTTTAAGTAAAAAAGCATGAGCTTTTAAAAAGCAAGTTTTAAAAACTTGAATGATTTAATGACCTTGCTATATATAGTTATATTTTAACATCAAAGACATTTTAGCTTTTGAAGACATTTGAAGATTAATCTTAAGTTCATTTTAATCTCTTGTCGATATTTATCAATATTTTGACTTTATATAATACTTTATATATTTTGAATTTTGATATAAATGAAGCTTTGATTTATGTTGGGGTAAGATCATACTTATTCAAATCTATATAATACATATATAAATCTATTAACAAATTTATATATGTGGAATTGGTGAGTTTAATAATTAATTTATATTGGGTTAAGATCATACTTATTCAAATTTTTATTAATTTTTTAATAGTTTGATTTATATTGGGGTAAGATCATACTTTCTTATTCAAATCTATATAATGCATATATAAATCTATTGATAAATTTATATATGTGGAACGGGTGAGTTTAATAATTTTTATTTGTCAATATGTAGACAATATTTGACCTGATCTCAATATATAACCTGCTCTTAAAAAGTTTATTTTGACTTGATTCAAATTTTCAAATATTGTATAGTTAGATACATACACTGTTCCTTAGTAAAGTCTTATTGTTTGGGTTATATTATGTATTCTGATAGTTATTTACTTAGATCACCCATTAGTTCAATATATGTTCAACATTTAAATTTTTTTTTCTTTATTAATAGTTTAATTACATGATTAAAATTTATAAATTTATAAATTCATTAACAAAAGGTTACACTTGAACAAAGCATATGAATATAATCTGTAAGCTTAAAAATAAACTGCATAAAGTATAACATATGTATAACATACTTCATAAAGTATAACATGTATAACATACTTCATAAAGTATAACATATGTATAACATACTTCATAAAGTATAACATATGTATAACATACTTTATAAAGTATAACATATATATAACATACTTTATAAAGTATAACTTGTAAAACTAGTGCGAAAACTAAGTAAAACTTCATATTATGTACTGCATATTGTTTAAAGAGATTTTTTATTATTTCATGTTTTAAACTTAAATTCTATTTTTTTATATATAAATTTTATACATTCCAACTGTTTAATACGAAGCATCCAACAGTTTCACCTAACAGCTTTACTATATTTTGAACAGTTTGAATTTCAAACAGTTTTGAAGCTGGTAAAAGTCTTAAGCTTTGGTCAATGCTTACCTAGTAGAAGTACAACTTTGGGTTGTAGGACTTGTAAACACGATAGCTTAAATGGTAGTCTTTTTATCAAAAATAAAGAACTCAGTCTTTTTCTGCAAGATAGGCTAATGCTAGGCATTAATTTGTAAAAAACTGCTTTAACCGTTACATAATCTGGATGCCTGGATGAAACTGAACCTCTATGAAAACACCCAAAAAAAAATTTTATGTCATTATGTGATTATTTTACATATACATGTTAGTTATAAAAATGAAAAATATTTGTTGGGAAAACTTTTAGAAACTTTAAAACCCACAAAAATAAAAAAAACAATAAATTTTTTTTTTAAAGTAAAATATAGTTCAAAATATAGTTTACAGATAAAATCAACTTAAATAGATACAAAAATTAAAAATACATAGAATTGCATACTATATTGCTAAATATTATTAGCATTAAAGTTTAGTATAGCCTTAGAGTAGCTGTTCATATATAAAGTTAAAAAAAGGTCTATTATTAAGTATTGCTCTCAAACCTCCAAGAATGCTGAATGTGAGTTTTTAAACACTAAGTCCTTTTCCTGTTATATTGACTCACTGCTCAATATAGGTGAATATTATAACAAGGTTAGGGCTTTCAGATACTCCAAACTTTTCTTGCAAAATCTTAAAAGGCTTCTTCACATTATTCAAAACATTCTTATATTCAGGATCTACAAACACACTAAATGTTTTGTCAATGATCTTTGAAAAGTCCTGCAAGTAATCTGAAAATTCTGACAGCTCTTTATGAAGTACTTTCTCCAATCTATCAAGGAGTCTTAGAACCTTAGAACATTCATTACCTTCAAGTGTGCCACCATGGTGTGGCTCAAATGTTTTTTAGTTTTTTAAGAACTTGATTTAAGGACAACTTTAGGTGAAGAACTGGTGGTGCACTCTTAAGAATCACCAAGCTATTATCAAGATTATCTTCATGAAAGAGTAAATAAGTTGCCACACAGTATACTCTTTTGCTTTGCAGAGGTAGTATACTCTTGATCTTTTTACCTCAAAGAGGTTAGCCAATCCTCTTTGTGCTTTTTAATACTCCTGAGTTTTTTGAGTGTAGCATCTGTATGCCAGACTTCACTTCATTTGCTATTTGAAGATTCACAGTATTAGCAGAAATATTTTGATGCATTAGGCATTATTTCCAGACGCAATGTTTAAGAGTTTCAGGTCACCAAAAAATTAAATAATAAAATATTGATCTTCTTTATGAATACCTTGCAGTTATGATATTTTTCTGGTACATTTGGAGCTGATGCAATGATCTGAATCTTCCTTCTTCCAGTATCTTTGTAATGATTTTTTGAATTAATTTTTATTGAACACTTATAAAAAATAAACACGTAAGTTAAAAGAAGTAGCATGTGAGGATTAGAAAAAGGTAACATTACTTATACCTGAACCACTTCCCTATTTCCTGGTTACCCTGCAAGAAGGTCTAACGAGTATTAAATCATCTGGATCATAAAGTGTAAAAGTTAGCTTCAGATGTCCTTAACTAAAATTAAGGATTAACTTTGAAGCCATCTCTAAGAAAGGCTGTTATTTAAGGCTATAATTTAATATATAATATAAAATTCATTATTTAGATAAAAATAATGAATATGAAATCTTAAAAAACAAATAACGACAAAAATTTAGGAAACATTTATGATTACATTAGGCTACTTTTGCAACAAATTTCAAGGTATTAGAACAGAAGATAAACGGTCAGATTATTTTGTTCCCATTTGAGTCTTAAAATGCAGTTAATATGCTGAGCAATGAACTTTCCAAAGATACCTTTTTTATTCCTCATAGCCTCTTTTATGTGAGGAACAATACATTTCCGTCCCCATTTAAGTCTCAAGTTTCTCTGAATTGAAATATTGGTTAGGCTCAGTATTTTCTGGCCGGAAAATACTGAGCCCAACCAATATTTCCGGTAATAACGTGAGAAAATAAGTAAACATTTGAATATTTGGAAAAAGGTTTTAAAAATTTTCCTTTAAAATCCAACCTATTCACATTCAAAAATTGCAAAATTGCAAAAGTTGCTAAATCTTAAGTAGGAAACATATTGAGGCAATATAAAAAAATTCAAACTACCCACAAAAAAAAAGAGGCGGTACAAAGATAAAAGGTTTTTGTCAACAAAAGTTGACAAAAACAATGTTAATTTGATCATCCAGTTAATTACAAAAAATTTATGCCAATCCCAGTAATATCTTGCCAAAAATTTCGAATGCAGTCATTTTCTTGTCAGAAAAACAATCAAGAGCAAGGGTTTGAAGGCTATCACTTAGAAAAAAACTCCTAAGCAATCTATTGATGGAGAATTAAAAGAAATGCACCATGCAAGAAAGCTTGTCAGACTTTTTAATTGAGAAAATTTATGCATTATTGAGGAAAGAAATAATTTACTTTAAAAACGATTTCCAAAAGTTGTCTGGCCATCAAATTTATTATCATTCAAAAAGTGTCTATGTTTCAGATTGAAAAGTTTACTCCCAAAACCCTTTTATGGCAAGCAATTTGTTCTTGTGGCCTTAAAAGTGCTCCGTTTGTCATTTGAAAGACTTCATTTTCAATTTGTGCATCTCTGAATGTCTTCAAAAATATCTTTTGCTATTTATTAGCAAACAAAGCAAGGCAGTTATCTTTTGGGTGGATTTAGCAACAATCCACTACTCCAAGAAGATAAATGCATTATTCTGGCCTGATTTGGCTACAGGAAGTCTCTAGATTGATATGAACAAACTGGTGTCAAATTTGTACCTAAGGAATCTATTCCTCCAAATTACCCTGAGCAACGCGTTATTGAGAGTTATTAGGCAATTGTAAAAGGAATTTTGTTGAAAGTATGTCCAGACATTTAAGCAAAAATGGTTAGCAGCATTGAAAAAGGTCACTGAAATCAAGATCCAGGGCATGATGGCATCTACTCTTAAAAAAATTTGATTACTTTCTAAGCGTCCTCTGAAATCTTTTTAAATTAATTAAAAATTTTAAATAATACAATCAATATCATTATTAAAAAAATTGGAATTTCTTGAGTTATTGCTAAGTGTATTCGGCCAGAAAGTGCTGAGCCCAACCAATAACTTGACAATCAGTCAGCCTAGCTTCTTGTTGTATTATAGAGACCTTCTCTGTGATCAGAAATCCATCAACTATTATTTCTTTTTTCTTTTCCAGCAATAGAATCAAAGGTTTTTCATAATAAGGGGATTTAGTGGAGATGTGAAAACAAAAGATTTTAATGTATCATCTGTTCAAGATGTAGTGGAGATGTCTAAGTTGTTTGAACTTATCTTTGTTTTTATGGTTTTATAACTGGTCTGTTCAGTCAGTTTAGGTTCAATTAGTTTTGTAATGTTAGCTAACTTTTCCAATCTTTGTTTAAACTTATCTTTGGAGTGGTTTGATCTTCTTTATATACTGGCAAAACAATGTGGGTAGAGGCGTGTGGGAAACAAGAGTTGTAAGATATATTCCTCTGGTTATTGACAAATAACTTTCACTATAACTTCCACAAATAACTTCCATTCAAGTTGGCAATTTTATAAATTCTGCACCTACATCTTTCCATAGACCTGATAAAAACAAAAAATTGACCTGATAAAAACACAAAATTTAATTAATTAATAATAGCTCATTTAATCACCCTTTAAGGCTAAAAGTGACCCTTCAAGGCTAAAAATATAAAATAATAGCATAAAAATTTGTTTGGGGTGTTTTTATAGAGGTTCAGTTTTATCTAGGCCTCAAATGATATGTGTGAAACTTACTATCAAGCCTCAAATGATATATGTGAAACTTACTACCAGGCCTCAAATGATATGTGTAAAGAATAAGTCTTGAAAATCTTTTGAATGTTTTTATTATTTTCAATCAATTTATTAATATTTTTTACATAAAATTTTTCTTTTTTATCAAGTTGTTAAAATAATTAGTATTATATTCTTTTTTTTAAAAGTCACTGCGTGAACTTTATAAAAATGGTGGTCAATTTCAAAAAAAAATATCTTATCACGGTGCACCACAATACTCTATCGAAGTTGTTGAGGTATTTACTTTATATAATAATTTGAAACATCAAAGTATTTTATTATAGGTTAGTAAATGGCTGATAAAAGTTTGATAAAAATTTAGTTTGATGTTTTATTTTGTTTGAAAATTTGAATATTGATCTTCTTGAGTTGTTTTATCTTACTTAAGTTTAAATTATGTAAGTTTGACAACTTTGCAAAATTAAATTTAGTTAAATATTTTATCTTTATTATTTAATTATTAGTTGTTTTTTCGGATTCATGCATCAATTTTAAAGGTGTTGATGTACATGGTAAATATTGAATATGATATATTGGAGAAGCATTTAAATTTGGCTTGTTGTCAAGCAGTTTATCGAGAAATTAATGATGATATTCATAAATACAATGGCATGTTTTAAATAGTTTTAAAATATCATTATATTAAAATAATTAACAAACAAGAATAAAATTTTCTAAAGTTTGATAATTTTTTTTTATATTGTTGTATAGTTCATTTTAATTTTTACTTTAGTTTTCACTCCTGATGCACCCACTCCTGATGCAGATAGCAATAAATATTTTATAAAAACTCAAAGCATCTTGCAGCTGTCAGGAAATAATTATTTGCAAAATTCATTATCAAAAACATGTTTTTTTATTAAGCCAGATAAAACTCTTCTAAATGACGTTGATTTTGAAGTTAGTTTGCTTATTCAAGATATTCTTCTAAAAATTGAGAGTAATTTAATTTCTGAAAGTAATAAGTTATTGCTTAAATCTAAAGATTCTTCAACTTGTACTGAGAAATTTGATTTGACAGTTAGTAAAAACCATTCTTTAAATTTATCTATAAACAATCAAATTGATAACTCCTCACAAAATGACTTGTCAATTGTAAAATTGTTACTAAGTGACTTAGTAGAGCAGGTTTCTAGTGACAGTAATCAAAAATCTCATCCTCCAATCTCACTAGTGGCGCCCTCGATCAATCTAGATTCTTTGTCTTCGAGTGTTGGTTCTAATGAAATAAAATATTTAACAAATACCAACTTAACAAATTTTGGTTCTGCAGAAGAAAAAGGTTTCACAACAAATGGATCTACTGAGAAAGAAAAAAGTTTTTTAACAATTGAAAAAGAAAGGTATTCTGAAGAAGGAAAATGTTTTGGCAATTTACTTTCAACTTTTAAGAAAAATTTAGTGCAACGTAATTTTAAAAATAAAGAAGAAAGATATCAATATATATCAATAGCACAAAAATGTTTAGATGCTTTAGCTTTTTGCTTGCAGAGATTTCCTGAACATTATAAAAGTCGCTATATGATGTCATACTTTTTTATGGTTGATAATGAGTTCAAGGTAACTTCTGTATTTTTTTAATATAAAATTTTTTTTCTGAATAGATTGTTCATTGCATTGATTAAAATTTTTTGCATTTTTGAGCAAAACAAATAATAAAGTTATTAGAAAAATATTAGTTTTATTAAATATCAATATTAAATCAAAACATAAAATATACTTTTCAGAAAGATAATTATTAGTAAATATTATATAGAAAGCAAACTTAATAATGACAAGTATTTGCACAAAAAATAAAAAATAAGGTATAACTGAATAAATAATTCGCTAAATTATTTATTTTATTGTTTCAGTTATGTTTTAAACAAAATAAATTGTTGAATTACTCTTGGTTAATTGGATTGATTGGATTAATTGAGTTTATAAATTGATAGGTTGATTTGAGTTTATTACTTGATTGGTTTTTGTCTGATTGTTTTGATTGTATATATAGTTATTTAAGAATTTAAAATTTTAAACATGGCTGTCAAGTCATTTATTTTGGTTTAATATTTTTAAATGAAATTTATTAGAATTTAAAAATCAGTCGAAGCTTGCTACTTGGGGACTGTATTGAATCAAATTTACATTTTAATTTATCCTCCAATGGAATAATCTCTAGTAAAAAGAAGACCAACTTATTCCAGGTAAAAAAGTCAAAAGTTTAATCTATTTTTTTTTAAATATAATAGTTTATTAATAAAAATTGTTATTAAATTATAAAATTAAATTCCTTTATAATTTTATAAGTACTTGTGGCGTATTCCAGTCAATGAAATTGATAGACCTGGAAGCTTTCTTTCTCATGTGTATTGTATTGTAAAACTACTTTTGGATATTCTTTATCAACTTGATGATACATATTTGCTTCTTCATGTAGCAGCATTTTTGCACAAGACGCCAGAGAAGGACAGGTTACTTTTTCTGAAAAACTAAGTTAGTAATAAAATTTGAAACTATGTAAAAATATAAAAATAGATCAATAGAAACAATTTGCAAGCTATTTAAATTGAGAGTTAACAGAAAGCAAAGAAGAAAACAGTTGTTTAAAAACTAAAAAAAAACTCTAAATTGTGTGAAAACTCTAGAGTACCAATGTTTGAAGATAAAAACTAGATGAATTCAAGTTTTTTCACAATAAAGGAACATATAGTTTAAAACAATGCAATTTTTGTGAATAATAAGTCACTCAATATTAAGTTTTGGTTTTGTGTAATAAGTGATGAGAGCTTGCTTAAGCAGTAACCAGCGTTTTTGTAGAAATGAGAAAAAGATGCACTCATGACAATAGTCATTTGTCATCAGGTAGTCAGTTGCTCAATATATTATAAGAATGTTAATTAAAAATTCAAAAACTATTGGCTGATAATAGTAAAAAGACTGATTTATTTAGAAGTTTTAGATAGAAAGGTTTTAGTTAGAAAGAGTTTTAGTTAGAAAGGTTATAGAATAGTTTCCAAAGATTCAAAAAACTGGAACCACATATTGTATTTTAGCAGGAAAACAAGTTTCATTATTATTATATATTATTAAAAGGTTTAGAGAGTAATGAAAAGAGATTACTTATAGACAGAAATGTTATCTGAACCACAAGCTGTAGTAGAGTTTAAAGAAAAAGAAGATTTGTCATTTATTTGCTTTTTGAATTTTTTGATGTCGTTTATTTGCTTTTTGTATTTTTTGATTTATGCCATTTATTTGCTGCTTGTATTATTTTGATAGGAAATATTTACATGATAATGATCGTGCTTATCTTGCTATAAAGGTTTGCCTCTTCTTTCTCTTTTTTTACTTTTAACTTTTATTTATGTATATATATATATATATATATATATATATATATATATATATATATATATATATATATATATATATATATATATATATATATATATATATAGATATATAGATATATATATATATATATATATATATATATATATATATATATATATATATATATATATATATAGATATATATATATACATATATATATACATATATATATAAATATATATATATATATATATATATATATATATATATATATATATATATATATATATATATATATATATATATATATATATATATATATATAGATATATATATATATATATATATATATATATACATATATATATACATATATATATATATATGTATATGTATATATATATATATATGTATATATGTGTGTGTATATATATATATATATATATATATATATATATATATATATATATATACATATATATATACATATATATATATATATATACATATATATATACATATATATATATATATATATACATATATATATACATATATATATATATATATATATGTATATATATATATATATATATATATATATTTATGTATATGTATATATAATAAATAAACATCCCGCACAGTAAGTTTAAACACACTTGTTTTTTTAACATATACAATTCTTTTAAGAAATAATAACCAAATTAATTGATGAGATACGCTTAGCTTTTTTCTGTTTATCTATACTATGTGTATAACTTAATAATTTAAAGGGAAAAAAATTGTAAGAATATCATAAAAGAGGTGGTGGGTGATGAGAAAGTTAGCAAAGCAATTAGGTTCTTTCAAATTTTCAAAAAAAAGTTTAAATACAGGTTGATAAGAAGTGAATATAAATATATACATAGAATATTTCTGAATTATGCATTTGTACAACAATAAAAAATTACTTATCAACTGGTTGTTTCAATGATAAACCTCCTATTCGGTGTCTGAGGAAATGTCAGCATGCAATGAAAACATGCTTAACATGCTAAGCAGATGCAACCTAAAAGCAGGAGTACCAGCTTTAAGCGCAAAAATCAATAGTTTACTCAAAAGAAAAAACAGATAGTTGTACAACAAATAAAGTATTAAGAAAGAATTCATTTCATGCTGCAAGAAAGCTTTTCTTTGCATTAACCACTTGCCAAAAAAAAAAAAAATGGTGTAAAGAGCGTTTAAGATTTTTAGTGGAACAATAGAAAATGGTTATCTTTAGCAGTCAAATTATGAAATTTTTAACAGAAAAAATATAAGATTTGCTTGCTGCAAGTATACAGAAAAATATTTGAAGCAACACATACAAAGCTGTATTCAAAAATGTAGTGGCTCTCACAACATATGGAGATGTACATCAGTACATCAATAAAATATGCAATGAAAAATTAAACCAGTATAGGTATTGTAACATATTGGAAAATGTGCTTATTCCAGGTTACTATTTATTACTTGTTGCTATTTATTTGATACTGATAAAAACTGGTTATTTCAACAAAACAGAGTTTCTTGTCATACAGCACATATAATCACATATTTCCTTGAAAGTAATGGTCAATTAATACCTTAGCCAGCAGGATCACCTGACTTGAAAATATATGGTTCTGGATAGATTATCAATTAACAAAATAGTAAATAACTAGTCACAAAATGCTCAAAAAAGAACTGACCAAATTGTGGATTGAAATATCAATCAAGAGGGTTGAAAATGATCTTGATTGAATAAAAAGCCAGTCTAAAATTACCATAGTTTACAAAAAAACAAGTGTGTTTAAACTTTTAAAGGGTACAATTTTTTTATAATATTTTTCAATTGTAATTTTTAATTTTTTAGGCTTTTGATTTTCTTTTGGATGTTCTAAAGAAGAAGCTAAACAATGTTAGTTCTTAATTTTAATGAGTTATCTTTTAATTTATAATATCAATAAAATAAAATATATTTATTTAAAATAATAAACTTTATTATTTTTGATAAATAGATTTTATTTTATATAAAAATCAAATATAAAAAGTTAACACTTATGTTAAGAATATCTTTTAATTTTAACATTTTTAGAATTTTTTAAGTCTAATAAATTTGGCCAAAATTTTGTTGTTAACATAATTTTAACATATACCACAATGAACTTTAAATGCTACATAATTATTTGGATCATTTAAATTCTTTTTAAACTACAACTGTCCTCACTATCTTAACTATAATTATCTGCCCTCACGTTCTAAAGTATATTTAACTGCCCTGATTTTCTAAACTAAAGTTAACTGCTCTAACTTTCTAAACTACAATTAACTTGAGTTTAAAAAATAATTATAATAAGCTCTATATACAGTAAAAATCCATTTATTTTAATGATTCCTGTGAGATCTTTTACATTTAAAATTTTCTATATTCAACAAGTTGCATCAAACAAAAAAGAAATTTCTTTTTTTTTTTTTTTAATTTTTTAAAATACTTTAAAGTGAAGTTAATAAAATTAAAAAACTATATTATATATTAAAATTAAATGCTTTTAAGCATTTGTTTGTTTTTTTATTACTGTTTTTGAAAATATTTCCATTTTATAATAATTATTTTAAAAAAATTTTGTCGCAAAAGATCTTGAGTAAAGATCAAAAAACTCTACTACAAAAATTTGTTTGTATACTTTTAAATATCTCATGGTTATCTATGATGTTTAAAGCAGAAGCCAGTAAAAGAATATAACAACTTGATCACACATAATAAAGACTTGTGCAATGTTACAACATATCAAAAAAATCTCAATATAAATAAAAAAAACTTTATTTAATAATTAACTTTTATTTCAGTTTAAGCATTTTTTTTAAAACTACATCAATAAGTATTTTAAGATAAATAAAATGTTTCTGAAAAAAAGATTTTTCTTTTGTCTAAATCTCTAGAATTTCGTATTTGCTTAAGTAAATTTAACCATACCTGATGTTATTATTTTGTTATTGATATCATCATGATTGTTTTAGCATTCTTGTTTCTAGGCTTGCACTTTTTTTCAGGCTTGCACAGTAAATATAAATTTACATTTTTAAGATTTTAAAAATCATGTGAAATACTGAAGAACTTAAATACAAAAAAGTTATTTGTAAAAGCAACAGTTTCCAGCTGAGGTTTTTTGTAAATTTCCATCTATAAATCTCCTTGAGGGAGGTGTTTCAAACATGAACATCAATCAAAATTGTTGCAAATTTTTTTCTTCTACATCACCACACCCTTTTGTTTAGGTTACCTCAGATAACAATGAAAAACAAAAACTATTTTCTGAAACCTTTGCAGCTTTCAAGCATTCTCAAAAACTTCAAGTATCAATGAAGGTGACAATTGTTTCTTAGTTTTTTTTAACAAATTTTTAACTAATTGATTACAACTATTTACTATCATTTTTTCTAACATTTTATAATAGCTTTTTTCTTAACATTTTGTAACTTTTTTCTTATCAGACCGCAGAATATTTATTGATTGAAAGCTACCTTAAAATGCACCCAGACAAGGCTAATGTAAGTTTTTTTTAACTCTTTTAACTTTTTTTTTTTGTTTTAAAATTAAGTTTTGTATTTAAGTTATAAATTTGTATACCTATATAATTAATTTGTGTACACAATAAATTTCTTTACTTTTGTTTGTTAATTAGCATTAAAATAAAATCAAATTAAAAATTAAAAATAATGTTTTTTTTGTTTTTTTTTATTTTCAGTTTTTTTGTTTTTGTTTTGTTTTTTAATCTTTTTACAATTTTATACCTAGATACTTTTAAAACATTGTTGTTATTAGTAATAATTACTTTGTTTTAAGGTTGAATTAAAGTTGGTTTTGGAAGAAGCCATGAAAATTTGTTATCAATTTTAAAAAAAAATATTGGAATATTAAGTAGAAAATGTTTTAAGTTTATAAATACTATATTTATTATCTGTTAGTAAAACAAATATAAAACATTGAATGTATAAAAATGTATCATTTTATTACTTCAAATAAAAACTTTTATGAAATTAAAGTCTTCTTTGCATCATTGTTATAAATCAATTTTTTTTAATAAGAATTTCCTAAAAATATGTAGGGTAAGATCTAAGAATTAGACACTAAAGAAAGGTTTTTTCTAAGAAAATTAAACTTACCAACTGTCTTAGCTTTTTCTACCCTGGCAGGGACGGGCTCGAATACAGTAGAAATAAAGTATGTAAATGCTTCTGCATTTTTTTTTATTTTTTTTTTTGTTTGTTTGTTTTTGAACCTAAAGCAAAATAGGGCAATCAATTATTATTTTGTAAATTAAGTTTTTTAAATGTTTATTTTAAAACTATTAGTATATATTTTTTTCCAATTTTTTAAATTTATAAAATATACTTGTATTTATTGTGAATTTTTTTTTTTGTTATAGTTTAAATTTTTAACGTTTTTATTTACATAATTAATAAGCAACATGGCTGATGGTTTATTTTATGCACTTAAACCAATATGTGTAATTGTGGCTAAAGAACCTAATGTAAAAAATTTGACATCTGCTAGAGAAACATTTTGTAGCCTCAATCAGAATGCAATAAGTGAACCTGCATTACTTGAATATGTTATGTTTCCATTTAATCTATCTTTAAATAAAAAGCTTAAAGAAGAAGAAGAAATTCTTTGCTTTCAATGTTTAACAGAAATTTATTGTAAGTGTAAACAAAGTATTATAACCGAGGATATTTTGTTGTGGAACCTGAATACATATTCTTTATTTTTCCTAAAATCTAGTAAAGAGATTGATAAAGTCCACTGTTTAGATTACACAACAAGTGAGGAGCAACGACATGGAATTACTGTAATGCTGAGAATGCTTTTATCTAAAGTTTCATTATCTCTATTTAATGTTTTTTATCAGAAAGAAAGACTTCCTTTAATAGGACATGTTGTTTCTGTGTTGTTAAATTTAGTAGAGGGTGAAAAAAATTTAACACTGCAATTAGTTGCTCTTGAATGCTTGCAACTTTTAGCTGGTTTCAATAATCAACTAAGTGACTTTGCTGAAACATTTGGTGATACGTTTGCTTCTTTTTTTCCTGGTGTGGCTACTTTGTTTAATAGAGTTTTAGTTTCGCCCTTTCATCAAAATCATCGATTGGTAGAAGCATGCTTAAAAACATTTTCATTGATGATCAAAACAGTTTTGCATGATAGTATTTGTAGCAATGATAGTGAAATGAAAATTACAGCCTTACTGTGTAAAACAGCAAAGACAGAAAATGAATTTCAATCAATTGAACAACTTGATGAAATTGATAATAACAAGAAAATCTTAAAAATTGAAAGAAATAAAAAATGGCTGCACAAATCAGCAAACAATATGAAAGTAATATTTCAAAACATTTTTCCAGTTCTTATGTGTCATTCTCATGTCAGTGTTAGATGTGCACTAACCTCATTCCTAAACATTTTACTGCTCTCTTGTATGGACAATCTTAAAGAAAGTGTTCCTGACTTTATAGTTGTTTTAGCAAAACTGTCATGTGATGATTATGAAACTGTTCGAACTCAGAGCAACCTCACACTAAAAATGGCACAACAGCATTTTCAACAAAAAGGTTTTTTTTGCTTAAACTGTTTTTATTTTGTTATTAAAGTTTACTATAAAAAAATAGTAGTTTATTTTTATCCTGAAATAATAAAAGTGTTGTAGATCGGAAGGACTTGCAAGATATTTTGGATGAAAAATGGTATTCAGAAATTTTATCTTTACCTCGTGTTATAAGCTTTGCTTCAAATGATGATTTGAAATGTGCAAAACTACAGTTGATCAAAGGGTACTTGCAGTTTTATGGAGATGGATTGAAATATCTTCTTTGTTCATATGCATATCTTGATAAATTTTTGTGTGCTTTAATTCAGGTTATTGTTTTTAAATTATTTTTTAATTTAGTTAAATAAGTCTAAATATAAAAGTATAAATTTATTTCCATACATTTTCTATTTATATGCTTATATTCTTAAATGTGTGTATATATACATATATTTATATATTGTACACAAAATTTTTCAAACTTTCCAAATCCATTAAATGGGCAAAATTTTGCCGAATTCACAAATTTTATATTGTTAATGCTGAAATCGCAAAACAAGAAAACTATAATAATTATAATAATAATAATAATAATATACAGTGGTTTTCATAAATTTAGACGCACTCATATTTGAGAATAGAAAATTTTAGGTATTTTAACGATAAAACAATGACGAAAAAAGATTTCGTTTTAGTTTTTTTTCTATTTATCAGATAAATACATACAGAATACAAAATTTAAAAAAAGTTTACAAAAAAAATGAAATACTAAGTAATAATTAGGTACAACTACATGGTATTAAAAAATTAGACAAAAAAAATTATTCATAAATTTAGACGCACGATACATTAGAAGGCGTAATTTATGAACCAATCAATATTTTGTGTATCCGCCTTTTGCTTTAATACAACTAAGAACTCTTCTAGGCATAGACTCAACAAGATTTTTGCACATCGCTTCTGGGACCCCATACCAGGTCTCCTTAAGGAATTCCTTCAGCTAACCAAGTGTGGAAATTTGAACCTTTGCTAATTCACGATCAATCCAAGCCCAAATTTTTTTCAATCGGGTTTAAATCAGGTGAATATGGAGGCCACGGTATTGTCATAATATTATTATCATTGAACCACTCCTTTGTATAGTATGCAGTATGTGCAGTAGCGCTATCCTGTTGAAGTTTCCATGGTTTATCATTGAGCATAAGCAGGTCAATTGATGGAATTAGGTTGTTTTCCAGTACTTCTACGTATATTCTGGAGTTGATTCTTCCGGTGTATGTTTGGCACATACCAACACCTTTGTAATTGAAGCATGACCAGATTCCTATCGAGCCTCCTCCACTTTGTACAGTTGGTCTAATGTACCTGGCGTAATACTTTTCGTGAGCCATTCTTTTGACTGTTATGTTAGATTTGCGATTGATAAGCTCAAAGTTACTCTCATCACTCCACATAATGTTTTCCCATTGATCTATTGTCCAATACCTTCTTTCACGACACCATTTTAGTCTCCTTTGTTTATCATATGGACGCAGAAGCGGTTTCTTCAAAGCAGTGTAGACTCCAATCTTGTATTTGATAAGTATTCGGCGGACTGTGCTTTGAGAAATAGATGTATTTTGCGTTGTATTGAATTCTGTGGTCAATTCTTTGTAACTAATTCTTGGATTAGCTCTGACAGCTCTAAAAAGAACACTATCGTCCTTTCTGGTGGTTGACAAGGGTTTACCTGGCCTCCTTTTCTTGCTGGCACCACCAGTGTGAAGAAAGTTTTGTTTCGTTCTCCGAACGCATTTCTCAGAAACTCCAATTAACTTGGCGATTTCTCTATTACTTTTGGTTCCTTCTTTGATGTGCGCAATAATTTGCCATCTTTCACCTTGAGTGATACGTCTTTTGCCCATTTTTTACGTTTTTTTAGTGCAAAACTAACTTAACTTTTGTTTATTTATTAAATAATGATTAAATAATTCCAGGTAAGTCATATTTATATAAGGTTTTTTGACAAAATCAATTAATTTAGGCCTATTAATGAGAAATATAAGAAAAAAACTACTAATTAACTATCAATTAACAAGATATAAGACTTTTTTAATTGTGCGTCTAAATTTATGAACAAAATAAAATCAAGCTTATCAATTAACTTTTTTGTGTTAATCGGTATAAAATGAGTAATAAACATCCTGTAAAAAAAATTAAGGTACTCTATAATAGAGTTTCATTTCCTCTTGTAAATTATATATCAAACATAGCGGTAGCACTTTTATTTTATTTTTATTTTGAGTATTTTCTTACATATATGAAGAAAAAAAAATGAATGCATCTAAATTTATGAAAGCTACTGTATATATATATATATTATTATTATTATTATTATTATTATTATTATTATATATTAATATTAAACAACAACTTTATCGAATATTTGCCTATATTTTAACTAAATTAAAAAAAAAACTTTCTCATGTTTTTGTTAACATACGTTACATCAAAATTGCAAAAGTTCTTTAGTTATTTTTTTGAAAATATATATTTTATAAAGTATAAAGTCTGAACAACAACAATTTGAATATGTTAGCTCCATTTTCACACTAAATTACTTTCGATTACGTAAATAATTTCATGGTTAACACTAATTAATATATACTATATAATATATAAGTTAATACTTTACAATAATATCTTGCAACAATGAGAAAAATTGTAAGTTTCAGAAGCATAAAAATGACTTGGATAAATTAATTTTAGTACTAAAGGTGTAAACTTTCATGTGTCTACATAAATATTCATTTGCTAAAAGTTGGAAAAAAAGAAAATAGAATTTGCCTACTTTTTCATTTTCCACCATGAAATTACATATATATATATATATATATATATATATATATATATATATATATATATATATATATATATTTATATATATGTATATATATATATATATATATATATATATATATATATATATATATATATATATATATATATATATATATGTAATTTCATGGTGGAAAATGAAAAAGTATATATATATATATAAAAAATATATATATATATATATATATATATATATATATATATATATATATATATATATATTAGTACATTGTTTATATTGTTGTGTATTTTGTGTATTGTTTAAATATCACTTAAACAATACACAAAACAATACTTGGAAACACGAACCTTGACAAACATGGTCACTGCGCAGAAAAACAAATTAAGCACGGTACTATCACATGCATGTTGGGGATCAAACTCAGAACCTCTCACTTATGAAGCAACCTTTAGTTAAAAAAATATAAAAAATTTAAAGCATTTGTGGTTATAGAGAAATCTCAATTTAAATGTGGTTTTAGAGAAATCTCTATTGGTGTCCACCCAATATTTCTGTCTCCATCTTTTCTATTTCAAAATTATATTATGTTTGGTCATTTAATGTTAAATATACCTTTAATATTAAATATCGACGCTGTCGAAAACGGTCTAGAATTTCTGCTGCCTTCAAACAGTTACGAGATTACCTGCTTTTTAAAATGTATAAAACTGCTTTTTGCAACCAAAAAAATGGAATTATTGATATTAAATTGATATAAAAAGAATAATTTGAGAGCTTGGAGCCAGAGTGGTGTATGTACACTTTTCAACATTTTCATAAAAAGCAATTTGAAATTTTCAATCATGCATCAAAAATAGAAATTTTCATTGGATTTCATGTTACATAATTATATTATGTCAAAAAAACATGAAATTCTGTGACAAATATGATCTTTGATGTATAATTAAAGATTTCAAATCGTTTTTTCTCAAAATGTTGAAACGTGCACATACATCATTCTGCCTCCAAAGCCTCGATATGTTGTGCTCATAATATATGTTCATAATTATAATATGTAATAATAATAATCAATAATAATATGTAATAATAGTAATTATAATATGTGTTCATAATATAAAAATTTAGCTCAAATTATTTTCTTTAATATAAACACATTTAAAAAAAAAAATTTTATTATGAACTTCATATTAAAGAAAATGTTTTTTTTAATGTTGTGTTCATATTAAAGAAAATCATTTAAGCTAAATTTTTTTGATTAAAACTAAATGTCAAATGTATATTGATAAAATTTAAACTTGTTGTTTTAGTCAAAGTTCGCTCTTTATATTTCGCTCTGTATCTTGTAGTCTTTATAATATATGCTGCACACCATCATCCTGTAACCAGGTTAAGTTTCTACTCTGCTCCCGGAGAAACCGCCATATGTGTGTGAAACCTTATGACCTGGGGATTCCAGAAATACCAAAAATCATCCTTTTACATCCGAAAAATAAAAACAATGTTGAATTTTATTATTTATTGCACCGAAATGTGAAATGACAGCATTCAAAAATTTTGCATTTTTACAGTATTCTTTAAAAATACAACTTTTCTATTAACCAATAAAGTTTTCAAATCATAAGTATTCAAGAAAAAAATTCAGATTTTGGAAACAAAACTGCATGTAAATTCGATTCCAAAAAGAAATTTTTGGATTTTTTTTAATTTTCTCTTCACCATGACTAATTTTATCAAAAATTCTTGCTGTCGAAGTCCACAAGGCAGTGAACAAGCCTCTGTCCATATTCTGGATGACCAACGGGGTGCTTGTATCTTGTCCAATGAGTATTGAAATGATGGTACATGGCTTCTGTTGTCTGTTCACTATAAATTTCAAGAAAAGATTTGTTTTTAAAGACAAAGTCTTTTACATGGAAAAAAACAGTGTGCACCTTGGGTGTCACACTCCCACATGGTAGAGCTGAAAGCATCAATTTTTTCTGCAAAGCTTTCATCCAACTTGTTGCCAAAACATGCTGACACAACTTTTCCAAATTTTCGAAAACTTTCAATAATTGAAAAGACCTGCAAGGCACCATCTTTTTCTGCCAGAGTTTGCAAAATGTCGAGTTTTTTAAGCAGTTTATGACAATCATTTCCAACAAATTGTCCTCCATGAAAGGCCTGAGCTTTTATGTTCAATGCTTGAAGCATCTACTTTTGGCCACATGTTTTTGAGAATCTTGAAGAGATGGTTTACTACTCCCAAAAGCAAATGAAGCTCTTTTGGTGGTATGAGGTTAAAGACAAAGGCAGAATCACCAAGTGAGATTATTGGTTTATGAACCACATTTCCAAACTTCTTGGCATTTTTTGTGTTTGAGCCAGCTGCTGTAAACTCATTGAAAGACTGCTTCAAAGACCCAAAAGTTTGAACTCTCTGTATTGCACCAAGTGCAAGGATGGGAAGAAGAATGTGCTTGTAAGCCACAAATGATGTTTGCCAACTTC